TCTTCTTCTTATCATAGCATACCAACCAGCGAACACCCAGCCAAGTTTAGTTAGCCAGTTTGAGTATTCGTTACACGAGTCTCTAGATCTATAGTATCTAGTCGCGTATTCTTAGGCATTATAGAAGTAGAATAATATATAATTAGGATATATTATATAGTATTATTAAAACTCTTAGTTTCGGTGTTCCTACCCCTGTTAGGGGCGCGCACGGACCCTTTTTGGAGCGCCTGGTGGTAGCTGAGGGGATATTAATTATCGGATTCTTGGCGATATCGTATCGTCTAATGATTTCCGATACGATATATATCGAGTACCCCCCCGATACGGCATCGATATATCGATGCCCAGGTCTGTGCTTGAGTAGAAGCATGTTCAATTTTACTACATCAAATGTTTCAGTAGTTGAAGAAAAAGCGACTTTTTGTTGACATAAGAAATTTCTAATTGGCATTGACTATTAATTATTACTACATTACATATCTTTGACACGTCGTTCGCTAAGACTCAACCTTCTCCAATCAATCGTATCCATTACCATTCATAACTCTAAAGCCTATTCCAACGAAATCCAAGTTCCATTTGAAGGAACACCATCGTTGACAACGAAGAGCAAATAAATTCTAAAAATGGTCTCAGTAAAACTAAGTAATAAGGGGGATAAAGAAAGACTTACCCTGGAGGCATTACGCTGGCATCTCTAGGCGACTTGACGACAAAATCCTTGGTATTGGGGACCGCTTTGTATCCTGACATAATGACTCTCTGACCCATCGCCATACCGTGGGTATGGAAACCAGCGGCGACAAGTGATATTTGTACTTTTCCTCTTACTCTTGCGCCTCCAGAAAGCTCTGTCATAACCGTGAAGTCAGAGTTATAAGAGATCTTTTCTGGTGCTGCCATAATTATAGGGCGGCGCAAATTGGTGGAGAGATATGGTGGTGTGAAAATCTCTACACGGTACTCGGATGGATACGCAGACTCTCTCCGTTGTTGCTGTTCGAGAGCCGCCAAGTGGCCGTTGTTGTTGAATCTTGGCCATCTGTAGATAAATGTTAGTTTTTACCCTCATCAATCAAGAATTTAGAGGTAAATATTTAAGGAGGAGAACTTTACCTGCTTCCCACTTTCCCGGTTCTGCTGTAACCGACCACTGGATTGGAACCGGCAACAAGTACTTCTCCCTATTTGGAATATTAGTTCTCTGTGAGAAGTTTGTTGTACACGGTGATTTTCATACTGATGGGAGCAAAGTTGCAACTGAGTGATACATTCGTGGAATTGTAGTTACTGGAAGGTTCGTGAAACGAGATCCCGCAGGTGCACTTGGGTTATAGATCATAGGTGTGAAAACAGGGTCCTGCATTTTCTAGTTAGTAATTGTGAGATGAGATTTTGTTCATGACTTACGTCTGCTTGTAAACCACCTGCTGACCCAGTTCGAGCACCATTGATAAACAGAATCGTGCCGTCAGGCAGGTTGATACCATCCTATTCATCAATCATATTAGCCAAAGATTTACTAGAAGAAGCGTTGATTCATACACTCATGACTTGTGCTCCATTTGGCATTGTATCATCTCGAACCCAAGTAGGGTTGGCACTGTTTGGGTCAATTCTCCAGCAGTCGTCTAAGCCTATAGGCACAGGCATATCACCCGAGCAACCACCACAGACTAGTACAGTAGGGTTGTAATCTGGGTATTGAAGTGGTAGCATTACTGCGGTGGCTGAGGATGGGAAGGTACGAGGTTGAAGTGGTGTATCCGGGAGAGTTTTGACCAAAACGTCATTAGCGAAATCCCAAATGACACTACGGTTCCCTGCAACGGCGAAAGTGTAATCCTTGGCTTCTGCGTTTGGAAGAGTATACACTAAGCGAGTCAAAAATCAACAAGTGCTTCTTTTCCTGTTTTCATCTGATAACTTACACATAGGATACAAGTTGTAGCTTTTACCGGGGTCAAGGTTCTCGGCTGCGGTAAACTCGAGAATTGGAAGAGTAACTGGAGCCTTTGGTCTCCTTCCATCTTTGTGGCTTGATTTTTCTGTCAGCAGGATATTTCTTTGTGGTACTTGCACATAATTGACTTACATTATCTCGTAGGTTGGTACGTTGATGTTCGCCTCGTTCAATACCAGTCCACCTTTGTTGGAGCCACCAACAACAAGGATGCTACCGTCAGTCTGATATTCCACAAGTATCAGTACTGCTGTTGATATGTTGCTGTCTTGGGCTTAATATGCTTGGTCTCAACATACCATTGTTATAGAGGTAGGATACCAACGATAAACTTGTAACGTGGTCGGCAGTTCCACCCAATCGGTTTTACAGGTGCCTTGGCATGGACCTGGGTTGAATGTTCTCAATTTGTCAAATCCCTGGGTGATACCGCGCGCTTGCTCAGCGCCAGACATGTTCAGCATAGTACCGTTGGGAAAGAAAGCTCCAGCAGAGCAGAAAGTATTAGACAGTGGTTTTACGGGTCGAATGGAATTGGTGGTGAGGTCAAATTCGGTTCCAAAAACCGATATCGAGGTACCTGGGTAGAGATAGGATGTTGTAGAATGAGCACCGGTAGCGAGGTTGTAGCCAGGTCCGCCATAATTCTCATGGTAGTTGTCGATAAATACGACTGTGTTTGTGTGTGGTGGCCTGCAACGTATCAGAAGCTGCATGTTAAAGGCAAAAATTCTCTCATCATCGATAGATCAAGTTTTAGTGACAGAGTAAAAGGGATCGTACACAAAGACCATCTGGGCAGTACATCCTGAGGTTCCGACTGTTCTGAACCCAGAAAGAGCTGCGGTAGCTAAGGTAGGAAGCGAGGCTATCGCGATAGCCTATATAATATTTATTAGCATTTGTTAATCCAGCAATATCCTTTTCTATAGACTCATACCTTTGGTGATAAATTAAGAAGCATGATTAGATAAGTGCAATATACCAATAATAGAACAAAAGAGAAAATTAACGATAGTGATTAGTAGAGAGGTAGCGAAACCTTCCTGCTGAAGAAACAGATGTGAGGGGGCAAGAGTAGATTATATTGACCACAGGATTCAAGAACGGCAACTAAGGAAATTAACGCACGCGGCTTCAAGTGTGGAATACCCTTGGCAAAGCCTTGCATTTAGGTATACCTCCGTATAAGCGACGCGCACCCACCCTTTTTTAACATTCCCGCTGGGTCCTGCGGCTTTTTAACGGTAGTATATCCTCACTTATCAGAAAGAGCATGCGCCTGTCATTCGGAATACCGGTACTCGTACACCCACCAAAAGGGGTGTGAGGGAGTCGATGTCATACAATTAATATGTAGGTAGTGAGAGAGCTCGCTTGTGAAGACCTTCAAAAGTATGATTTACAGGCAAGTGTTATTATCAAAAATATCTGCTGCTAGAACGTGTTCCTCTTCTTTTGCAATACCTCTTTAAGTCTCACTTGCTGAAAAAAGTTGTTTTCAATAACCCGGTAGCCCGCCAATTACTCGCGAAAAGCTTTCTGAGTACGCACACAGCATGTGATGTTCAAGGGCATCAAGGTTATTTCGTTACCCGGTTTTTAGACTGCGGTCGCGGTACGGAGGTTAAGCAAACCAATCGGTGAGGTTCCACACGTCAAATGAAAAAACGGGTACGGAAGCGCATAACACGCTACTTGAACGTCATGGAGACCAATTACTTCTTGATCGTTCTGCAGGTGCCAGGTAGCAAAACCCCCGTCTAGGAAAGTGCTTTCAATCCGGTGTAGTTATCGGAAGAACTCAATGAAAACGACTGAATTTGTTGAACAAGGACATGGCGTTTTGAACGCACGGTAGTCTGAGCGACTCTCGAGATGGTACGAAATAAGAGATAAGCAAAAGCCGGATTTCTCCCATCTGGGCAGAGGGGCAATGAAGGCTGGGTAGCCCTTGTCTCGGGTAGATCATCTATCAGATTTGGGCTGAGTAGTGGAGTGCGGCGTAGGCCGTTACCACGTACTTTGGTACATTTTGATGGTTTACGCTTTGCAAGGTAAATGAAAATACCACTGTATCCATGGTCTATGAGAAAAGGAGAGTGAATTTCAAAGGCAAACCAACATCAATTTTAGCCGAGAACTATCCGAGTGCCCCCTGAATACACGTGATATACTCCGTACACATGGGGTGAAGCAACTTAGTAAGTGATCACCTACCTGGATAGTGAGTAATGACCATTGTAGTGACAAGGAAACCATTGATCGAGTTCTGGAGGCTGGTCATATGGCAGTTCTCAATGTGAAAAACACATCTGGTTGTATGTTCGCTTACTACAGCTGCATGAAGATATAGCTGTTTCTAAGTTCTAAGGCGCCAGGAGACAACTTTCATTGCTCTATCTACATACAAATTGCAATATTGGCCCCTAACAAACCAGATATTTGAGACTGTCATACATTCTAACCATCCTGTTTCGCCAAAAAGCCAAGAAGTTTAAATTTCTCTTCAAGCCCAATAGGTGAACCGAACTTAGAACACATAACTCCCATACACCGTATCCTGCTTTCCTTTCTGATCTTACCCCCAAATATTCAAGAATTTAGACCGCTTCTGTCTCTCCGAGTGTAGGATTGCCGGAATGAGTCGCTCAAGTCTCCAGTATCGCTATCTGTCGATGAGGATGTTTCACCCGAAAAGATCTAAGGCTACTTTAATAGGCGTAGTTAAATCCACTCTGCAATATGGACAGGTCGACTTGGACGGATTTTGCTCACACCACGACTTGAGGCAATCTTTACCCATGATATGTCCACAGGTGGTCTGAACTGGCTGGTTGCAATACTCTTCTTTTCCCAGTGCACTGGCCTTGAGTTCAGCCATCATCTTATCAAATGCTTCAATCTCGGCTGTAATTGTGTGTAGAGAAGCGAGAAACCCGGTGGGCATCTTGATATCTGCGTCTTTAGGGGGTGGCAGAAACCTTGAGAAGGTAGATTTGACCAAATTTTGTACCTCGAGTTTTGCTTCGCTCAGTATCTTTTCGTCGGTTGTTCCATCTCGTCGTAAGTCCAAAGTAGACCAATCGACGGTGAAATTCAAGTAGCAGATAGGGCACATCCGCTTGTCCTGGTCGATGTCGGCTTGCGCAAGAGGTGTCACTATTTCCCCCCCACCTGTCAAGTAGTTCACCTGGTCGAGCTTGGGGGGACAATGGCGAATTAGCTGAACCATTCTTTTCATCTCACTGACAGATACGCAAAAATCTTTGAATGGGTTTTTTGCGCTGTCGGAGTAAGCCCTGTTGAACAGGATACGATGCCATAATCGTGCCTTCCGAAACAGGAAGTATTCTTGGGTCCCTTGGGACTTTGCGTAACTGCGAATGTCGAGGAACTTGTAGAGACGGACCAGTTTCCAAACCCTTCCATCCTCTGTGATGTGTGTTCTGACATGTTCGGGCCCTGGGAAGCGAATTATTCCACCGTTCAAGCGCGCTATGCCAAGATAACTAGCCGCCAGAGTTATAGATGTAGGAATCGAATCTTGTCGTGCGGCGATTATGGTAGCCATAAGCCATAGGAACTTATCGGTGGGATTCCAGATAGATTCCAGATGAGGCCACCCAAAGCACGCTTCATCCAGGAGCTTCTTATCCTGAAATTCTACCTCTGATGATTTGAAAATCCTGCGGGTACTCGTGTAAGTGTTTTTAAGGATGTCGTCATGCGGAAGTGGAATCGGACAATATATATGCTCTCTATATGTATGATTCTTGTGTCGTGTTTTCGTGTCGTGTTTTCGTGTCGTGTCCTCGGCTAAAAGCTGAACCCATGTTGAGGATATGGAAGGTGAGTAGGTCTGGTCAAATTGAGGTGTGAACAGAAGGGAATATACAATACTGATTGAGAAGGTCAGGTCAAAACAAATGTCTGGATAGAAAGTGAGGATCAATAGCACCACAGTTGAGGGAAACGAATCCGCTTAAATAACTTTACTCTATTTCTGATGTAAATACTGGCGAAGCTAGGTCTCCTAGATTGGCCCGGCGAGACATTAGCATCCTGCTATATATTTCATGACGTGTAGGATATTTCATGACGTGTAGGGAGAACATAGAAATGCTGTGGGTTTGAATTGGCCCAGACCTAGCTTTGGCGCCAAAACGGGAAACAAACGTCACAATTCGTTCATAGGCTCTGGAATCCTTTCGCACCACCAGCTAAGGGCACATTTTGCTCGTTTATTTAATATGTAATATTTCTAGTCATATTGGGTATGCACATCTTGAATGATCTTGAAGAATTGTATCGATGTTTGCTCCGAGCTGTAATTGCGTGGGAAGTTCGAAACCTTTTTCTAGGACGTATAATCATATTGGTCTCATGATAGCAGTAGCAGTATGGGACGTGAATGATTTACAGGAAGACATGCGCATATTCGAAAGACGTGATGGTCAGGAGTTCTATTTCTTTTTTGGCGGTGCATCCTCTGAGAAGATATGCGAAAAGGTTCGCCTGGAGACTAATGTAGTAAGTATGCTAGCCGAATGGTCCGTCAAGTTAGGTTCGTGCATCATATTACACACGCACGTAGAATTTTTTATTCTGATGGATTTTTACAAGCCAAAGAGGCCCTGAACTCGGAACATGCATAAAATAAACGTCAGAATCGCGGTACACGAAGAATGGAGTGAGGTATAAGAGAAAGCACTAAAACCCCAGACACAGGGAGCTACTCAACCAAATTTTGATAAGTTCTACACACGACGCCGCAACACCTTCTCAATTGCTCTTTTCCAAGCACATCATACACAACTTCTTCAAACATGTTTACTCTCACCGATTCAGTGCTCGCCCTGGGCACCTTGGTAACCATAGGCGTATTTTGCGGAGGAGTATATTTTACCAGTTTGCAAGGCGAAATTCAAGAAAGGCGCCAGAATCAGCCATTGCCAATTCGAGGCTGCTGCATCCAATGCACTCTCCAGCTTTACGGCCCAACACTCAAGGCAAAATTACAGGCCATGAGTACATGGTTAGCAAGATTTTTCGGACTTGAAAGGACGGTGGCAAATTTAAAGGATTGCATCGCTCTCCTAGAGCTGGCTGCGTACTGGTGGAAGGCAGCATCGCAGCATGCCAATGTGGAACAACAAGAGAATGCGGAAGCGGAACAGCAGGAACAGGCAGAAGAGCAAGAACAAGAGCAGCAAGAACAACCAGAAATTCCTGAACAGCAAGCCAACCCCCAACAACCTCCCCTCTTCCCAGAACGACGGCGCCAACGAGACGAAAACCTAGTCCCAATGAGAAACATAGGACGGTTCGTCGAGGAACAAGAAGCACCTACACAACTAGTAATCCAATCATCAACCCGTTTCCTCTACAGACACCACACCAACGGAGATATTCTGCACTATCTCCAAAAGTCAGGCGTCGCATACCCCGATATGAATGGTTGTAGAAGCGCGTCATTCGTCAAGAGACTGGTCGACTACACCAATCAGATGCTCTATCACAGCAACCTCCATGCTGGAAGCCGATGGGAAGATGTTAGGAAGCGGTCCAAAATGACAAGCATTGAGAGGTTTTGGGAGTCCATTCATGAAGTTAACCCTCCAACTGGCGATCAGAAGGAGTGTCCGCTCTGCTATGAGGGATTTTCCACGCCAATGGCGGATCGTTCATGTGGAAATGAAAGGGCGGTATACGATAAGACACATGTTGCGGTGTCGATGAAGTGTAAAAAGGGTCATATTTACGGTGCATCCTGTCTCTGGGAGGTGAGTAATGATCCCGTCCAGAAATTGCCGCTTGACCCCAACCATTCGATTGCTCGGTACAATTATCCAAGAAGATTTAGAACAATCCGATATCCGTATTGTTCCAAAGCTTCTCGAATAACAGCAGAGGTCGTCAGAGGATATTCAAATTCAATGTGGAGTACTTCTGCAAGGATATTTGCTAACTTCAAAAGTGGTTCCGCGAATGTAGCAGCGACAGTCAAAACACATCATGTTTACTATGTCGTACACCTCTAGACAAGCTTTACGACCAAGAATCTCTCCACGGCAAATGGAACCACAATGTGGCTCGGATACGCTACTTGGCGAATGAGCGTGCGAGGCTACAGAAAGCTGATAATTACTGGTCCTGGTTGGATTTGTTCAACAGAATCAACTTGGATCAATGGTTCGAAATTTCCCAGGAAGAATGGGAGCTTCAATTGAAAGACGTCTTGCTGGGCCTGCAATACTTTGACAGCATGCAGGAATGTCGTCAGACAATCGAAAGGGCTTACCTCATTCTCCGTGGGCTACGAAATATCGGCTGGAGATCGAAGAACCCGGTAATCATCAAGAGCATGACTGATAGAAATCTCGACACCTATCTTTCCGAACGGTATTATGTCAAACATCTTAAGAACATCCCCGAGACAAAGGATCTACTGGGGACTGTCGAATCCCTCTCCAAGCAAATAATCGACATGGTTTTTGAGCTGAAGGGAGAGGTCTTCAAGCCATCACTCACCCACCGCTTTGTTAGGCAATCGACCATCTTCTGGAGCAATGACAGGATAGAATGGCAATTAATGCAACGCATTCCCGTCTGTCAAAAGAAATGGATCCACGATGTAAAGATGACGAAGGATGCGCTCGAGGAGACAAGGAAGTGGAAAGTGCATGAACAAAGCTCGACTATCATGGACAAAAATAATTCTTACGAACAACCCCTCGACCCTGAAGCTCATCTTCCCAACGGAATCGGCATCCATACAAGAATGGCAGAGACTTATCTGCAGAAAAGATTAAGCCTACTGATGGGCTTTATGAGTCCAGACCAGCACCTCCAAGACCAGCACCTCCAAGACGGCTCAATGACTGTTGAGCAAATTCAGGCTGTTGCCAAAAACATGTTGAATTTTGCGAAGGTGAACAGCCTAGATAAAGAGGGTAAAGAATGGTGGGCATCTCCTGGAGATTAGATGCAATTGCCAGAATAATATAGAACAAGACGGCTGTTGAGATCAGTTTAATCATGATTTCCCGAAAACCGAGCAATTCCATTTAGACTTGTGATATGTCTGCAGTCTATTTGATCCCGCCGCCTGCTAGGGAAGTGGGCAGAATTCCTGACAAATTTGCTCCTCAAACGCTATTCTCGTGTCTTGGTGAGATCATTAACGATAGAGCCTGGTAGGCCATCTCCATGTCTGGTCGTCCTTAATTATACGTGAAGTGTAACATATCACATACAAGATCAGGAAACTGTGAACCTTAGCACAGAGGTATCCAGAGTCTCGGTGTCTACAAGTACTATTTCGCCAGTGTCAGAAAATCGTGGTACGGCTATCAATCTGACCGTCTGGCCCTCTGGACCTTCAATGGTTGCTGTGTCGAATTTTGGCTGGGACCCGACGAAGAAGAGATGCGGGCATGAATCCAAAACAAATGGATCATGGTCTTGAAATGGGTAGCTCCCTAACAATTATTAGTGCAATGTTCCAATTACCTATAATCGAACGGAGCTGATGGATGCATGGTGGAATGATATAGCACTTGAAGACTCACATAAAGTATCAGGTGCTGTTGGTGCACAACAACGCCATCTGCACATCGCCTCCATCATTCTCAGTCTATCTTCCCCTTCCACATATTTGAAGACATCATCAACATTTTGCCCGCCTGTACCTAACAATTTCCAACCTTCAAGCTCGCCATCCCAAGGATTGGTGACCGTGTCGAACCAACCTGGCTCTCTGGTCACTCCTTCAACGGGTGGCATAGCACCATATGCTCGAGCTTGGGGAAACATGGCCGAGTGTATTGGTTGTTGGGGAAGACTGACATTCGCTGGGTCATCATATCCTGGCAGTAAAGTGATTGGCAAACTTGGTAGTAAGCTAGCCAAGAAATCATCAAAATGAGCAGTGGGTGCTGGGTTGTAAGCACTACTATCGTAACCATACTTCTTATGTGCTGCTTTCTTGGTATTGCCAATGGTATCGTGCGACGCGGCTTCGGGGTCAAGGGCAATCGAGTTCCCAGCAATAATTAACCTGCTGATTTGCGAGACGCTTTCTTGAGTTACTGGATCGAGAGCTTCTCCAAGAAGAAATTCGGTCAGAAGATTCAGGTCGAGAGAATGCTCCGCATTCGTACCAGAGAATCCAAGGCCTGAAACAATGGCTATCTTCTTACCGTTGCTTATTGGAGTAGGTTTGTCCATATCTTCATCCTCGTCCTTGTCTTTTCCATTTACTTCAGACCTGTGCCAACGTTCAGGTTGTGGTGGCAGACCAGGAAGTTTTATATCCACAACTTCGAAGTCGCCGTTTGCGTTTTCGGTACCCATTACTGCTATGATACACCCTGTAACAAGCAGTTCATTCTCAAGAGCTAGACCAATCAGACGGAGTCTTCCTGATTCATCTTCCAGCATTATAAGGTCTTCTCCGGAGGGTGAAAGGTACTTTTGACGAGGAGGTGGTGCAGAGATCCAGTGCTGGGAGATATTAGCAATGGTTCTCGAACTTTATGCGATGCCTATGATGCGACCCGCCACCAATTCGACACCAACTGGAATGCACTCACATCCTTACTAATATCCTCCAAAATATTAGGCTTCAGAGGCATTTCCATATAAATTGTGCCGATAACCCAACATAATCGGCCTTGTCTGACATCTAGCACTCTTTCCACCTTTTGCACTGTCTCCCCCGCAATCTGGAATCCATCCCAAGCCTCCAATGCGTTCTTTTCCACTGCAGGCTTCAGCTTCGTTAATCGCAGAAAGTACATGTCGCCATATTGCTGCTGGTATTGTTTTTCCTTAGCAAGAGCATAGGTCTGGGAGGGGAGGTAGGAGGTTGAGGTTCTGGTCAAGGCGGGGTGAGTAGTGGAACTGCGGGTGGTTAGCTGAATGTATGGTAAGGCCTGGGAATTGAGAGTACAAACGATGGGCTGCGAAGAAGATTGCCATCTTCTGGAACCACCATCTTGAATGGTGGGAGTGGTACTTCTTTGCGCCAATGTTGAGTGTAAAGTTGCCCTGCGGAAAACGCGCCGATTCCCACAAAGTTTCCCCGCGTTACTTTCGCGTATGAACCTGAAAAAATAGGAGGTGCACGTGATCAGAGCTACGATTCTGCTCTGCGTCAACCTTAGTAATCATCTCAATTCTAGTGAATTTCCAAAGAATTATTTTAATCAGTCGAAGTAATCAGATTATTTATTTGAGATCTAAACTATTTACTGCCTCTAGAAGTGGTACCCAAGAATATTATGCCTATTTAAGAAAGTGCCGGAGAGAACATCTCCTGAAAGTCTAGCGAGCCAGAAGCTGATTCACAACTGAGATCGTGACCAATTCTCTAGGTCACTCTGAATCATTGACTTGTGCCCAAAGCTGCAATGCTATCGAGAAGGTATTCCGATACTCGTCCCACGGTCCCACCAAAATACAGCATCAAACTACCAACACAATAAACTTCTAAAGTCCACAACAGAAATCCAATTCTACATAAGAGACAAAAGCCCTCAATCTCGATTTACAACCAGATTTTTGATCCATCATTTCATCATCACGCATCTACTATCACTAATTTCAAAGTCTAGAACCGGACCGTAATTTCGTATAATTTCCATACATTCCTCGTTCCTCACGAGTCGTCCAAAAATAGGATCCATAAAAACAGACCTGCTGTAAGTTAACCACGCGTATGGAATGCCAGCCCTAATCACAATGTACTCTTACATTCCATCCTAACAGTCTGCTACTTATATCTCTCGTCTTGAAGCCAAGAGCCTTTTCACACTTCACGCTAAACCAAACCACCTTTTCCTGCCCTCAGTCTTCTTCCCACAGTCTTTACAGCTCTCACTAAAACTCTTCTTTGCAACTGCCAACACTTTATACCTCTCAAGCAAACCCCTTTTCAAAATCCTTAACTCATCAAAGAACAAACAGCAAACAGACCATCCAAAATGCACTTCCAATCCCTCAACCAATTCCTCATCATTCTCCTCCCTTTCACCGCATTAGCAGTCGCTCAATCAGAACACATCAAACACCACCGTAAAAAGTTGGAGTACCACCACCACCATAACTCCACCTTGTCAGTATTTCCCATCCTTCCTATATACTCTTCTCCCATCAAATCCAGCAAACCAAATTCTAAAACTAACTCGTTCACCACTCAAAGAAACAACGGAACCTACTGTCACCATTGCAATAGCACCCCAACCGTAACGGGGATCCCGTGCTGCGCTACGAATGCTACGATACTGACCAATGGAGCCGGGTCATCGTTTGAAGTTAAGAGGGAGGTGGTTATGGTTGTTGGGACTGTGGTTGTGGGTGCTGTTGTTATGGGACTGGGGCTGTGATGGGTTGGCATTAGGCCGTTAGAGGGTATGGGGATAGGTAAGTATGGCGAGGTGGAGGTATGTGGTGGAGAGGAATAAGGATATAGCCCGCCAGTCTGGGATCGATTAGATGGATTCGTTGGCGTTATTGTTTTGGTTACCAATTCTAATTGTGAAATATAGAAATAGACATTATGGGAAGTAATTTACCTCAATTCATCTCTATATAAGCCGGTACCGGTTATATGTAAAAGAGTAATAACATGGGATAGTAGAAGTATAGTCCCTTCGCAAAAGTAGCAAGAAACAAGGACCATCTACTAGTGTGTTGCAGGGTATTTTACAAGGTATTTTATATGTGAACTGCTTTTTTCCACACGTCCTGGGGTCGCGAAACATCTGACTACTTTTGCGAGGGGACGGGACTGTATATTGCAGGAGTTATTACGGACTCTTTACTATCTGATATGTAATAAAATCTTCTCAACTATTCTTCAACTACTATTCAGAAGAAGGGATTTGATTTAAAGGCTACTACTCTCTAGACCTATAATTTATCTATTACTATAAAAGATGAGAAGATAGATGTGAGCAGTGTAAGAAAGAAGTACTCAGCTATTCAAGTATACTCCAAGAACACACACAAAAAAGGAAACAAAGAAAGAAGAGACATCCTTACCTACATCCACTTACCGTAGCCTAGGTAATCTTCAGACCCAGCCCTGCTCCAGACCTGATTGCTCGATAGGTAGTGCCGACGTTGTCCACGCAAGTAGGCAAAGCTGATGTAAATACAGTAAATCTACATGCGACTCTACGAGTACCGATTCCAAGCAATGTGTGTGATAGCCGCTACTACTACCAACGTACTGTCCAGATGTGAAAATCAAACGCCGCGCTCAATCAGTTGTTTGTTTGGAGTTTGATCTACCGGCTTTTGGATTTTTCGTTTGGAACGTTATTGTAAATCTACCTACTACGTAGATCTTGAGTTCGGGAGTGGAGAAGTGGAAAGGTATGGCGCTTGTAGTTGGATAATGGAGCTTGTAGTTGGATAATGGAGCTTGTAGTTGGACAATGGATCGTGTGGTACTGTAAGATTACTCGTACCGATGCTTTGAGCGGTGTAAATTATTTTGTAGCGTTGGAGAGATGAAAGTCTATCTTCGCGAAGAACCAAGCTCGTCCATGGAAGATGGGGATAGATATCACATGCTTATGCCTATCTATCCATAGCCCATCTGATGGCGCGACTTTTTGATAGAGTGTTGTGACAGGAGGCTGCAGTGAACTCATAGCTTGGAGATACTAACGAGTCACCACTGATAGTTTGAACAGTGACCGGCTGATGCTTCTTGATTAAGGTTGTGATGCCACACCCGTCTGCCCGTGAAGCCTTTTCATACCATGTAAACTTTCAGATGATGTGGTGTTGTGTGTGGCCGGGTTGACAACATTTGACGGAAAGATAACCGTGGTGCAAGCAAAGCCCTTCTAAACTCCTGCAGGGAGGGACCTTTATGGATAAGACGTTTGGAGAATTACATTACACATGCCACTCTTGAATTTGAACCCCTCTATCTTGTGAATCTTTCGAGGGTCGATAGAAGATGTGGGAGTGAGACAGCACAGAATGGTACGATACCCCCATTTCAGCTGTATTCGCTCACATGGTAGTATTGGGAAAGACCCGGAGACGGGACAATCCCATCTAGGCGTGGGTGGCCGAGCCGAAAGTGTGCAACGAGTGGCGTAGCGATCTGCTCGCTGGGCTAGGCTTATCGTCGCAAGATCCCACGTTTATTATTCGTGTACCGCCGTATTTTTTTGCAGACAAGTGGTATCTGTCGACAACGTTTTCTTGAAACCACGGTGTGTATTGGTGTTTTCAAGCACACGTACTCTGTACATGCGCCATGACGACGCAAAAGCGGTTGATGTTTTGATGCGAGTTGAAAACCCTCAATTACGAAGTCCGCACAGGTTGGAAATGTTGGCCAGCAGAAATGAAAACGGGATTTTGACGCGTGTCTGCAGGGACCAGATGCACCTGTACGCAGAAGGCGAGGAACTAGGGACAAACCGAGGGGAACTTCCCGGACATGCACTAAAAACAGCTCTTCCTTAAGCCAGATTGAGCTAGAGTACTTATGCAGGGCCTGCATTAGTGGCCATTCTCAACTTCTTATTGATCCATCGGCCAGAGCTAAACTTTGATCTTTCGAACTTCGAAAAGTGAAGGCGACCCAGCGGGCGTTGGAAGAAACGGATCTGCGAGGAACAGAGTTTGTGTAGTCTTGGGTCTTAACTGACAGCGGCAGGCTTGCAGCGTCCAAATGAAGCCATTCCCATTTCTCCTTAGGGTTTCCCATGGTCGTCGCAGGTTGGTGGCTGATATACGTACCACCAGGTCTGAAGGGAGGGTGTCTTCTCAACTGTTTGTACTCTGTATTCGCGTACACCGTCAATAGGCGGCAAAAAGCGCAGGGTTTCTTTGGTCCTTCATCAATCTGATTCTCCTCCCAGTGATACATAGACAAGCAACGCCAGGTCCCCTTGGCCACGTCTTGGATATGCAGCGAGCACTCTCAGGGAACGCAACGACGGAAATGCCTCAAGTAATGCGCATTCTTAAATGCGGATGGGAGTTCGTAAGGTGGATGCCGAGTCAGCGAGGAAGTGGCTATCGATAGTCGGATGCAGCACTGCTGTCTGTTGAAGTTTTCTCTCGTCCAGCTGGTGTCTCGTCCACATCCAGATCATCGTCACCAAGAAAAGTCCGCATGTGGCTACAAAGTAACATGCGTCTGGTTATTGCTAACAGGATTGCATCGGCCGCGAATCGTTGTCAGTGAGCGTCGCATTCAGCCATTTCCTCCTGCTGTGATTTGTGGGACACTCTGCGGTAGCCCCACCAGGCCCTCCTCGCCCTCGCCCTCGCCCGCCATCAACCTTGGAAGTAACCAAATAAAGCAAAAGTATGAATGCTTCCTGAAGGTTGAATTGTTGCAATTTGATGCGACTGGAAACCATCACTTTTTTGCTCTGTAACAAGAAATTTCAAGAGATGAGAGAAGTGATGCATATCCGAATAATATTGGATGACGATGTGAACGGAGATTTACCGTCTGTTGCGGAAACAGGAGATGCTGATGCGATGGGCGATGGGGGAAAGGAGGCAGAGGTGGGCAAATCACGCCCAAGGGAGGCTGCAGCGGGAGTGCATGAGATGGTCCAATAATGGCCGAAGAGAGACCACTCGCAGGCGAATGGCCATCGTTCCTCAGCAGCTTCCACTGCAAACACCCCGGCCCCCTCGTCCTCTTAGAGTTGCCTCCAGGGGTTAATCGATGAAATGACAGGGTTCTGACTTGGACTGAGTCCGACGGACGAGGGTGATGATCAAGGTTATGACTAGGGTTTCGTCTGCAATCCCAGTCGCTACTTTACAGGCTCGACAGGCTCAGGTGCAGGCGAGTAGGGAGATTACATAGGCCAGTGCTCCTGCTGCTTCGTGGATACTCCATATCGTTGAGAGACACCATAACTCCATCGTCGACCCTTCATCATCGCATTCCTTCCCTTTCCCCTTCACTCCCCCAACTCGACCGATCTCGACGACTTTCTTCGATTCTCACATCTCTCAGGACTTGATTGTTCTGTTGGTGCCAATATACGACTTCCACCTTCTGACAGTGAATTTAATTCCACTGGAGGCTAATTGATTGAAATTGCTCTGCTCTTTTCTGTCTTGCAACACTCAAAGCAAAGACCACTCCACACCACTACTCTCCGTACACACCATCATATCAAACTCGAGTTACCTTAACGCCAATCCGGTAATTCGACACGACAGGAGAGAATATCAGAAAACGGTCAATCAATTGTACTTGACACGGCCCACCAAGCTTGACGAAAAGGGAGGCTCCAGATTCACCTCGTACAGCGTTGTCACCACTCTATTACGCACATAGCGAATATCCAAACCACACAGCCTCCTCCAATCACAACACAGCCGCAGCAATGGATACCTCTTCAGAAAAGTCACCTGCCTCAACAACGAATGTCCTCACAATCACACGTCCCACGCCCACACGAAAGACTTCAAATCAATCCTTTGAAGTTCCCGGTCTGTCAACCATCGAGGACGTTGACTCCGCTCACTGTCTGACTCCTACCCGCACTCAACATTCAGAAAAATCCGCCATCATGGACCCATATGCTTCTCCCTTTGACTCCAAACAAGAAATCGTCGAGACAATATCAGGAACCTCAACCACATACACCGACTTGGAAGCTGGATACTCAAATAGCTCACAAAAGTCGGGAACTGGTTGCAGAATGTTGGCCAAGAACGCTGGTGGAGGAGCCGATCCATGGCCAAATGCAGATACCGTCAAGCGACAACGAAAGGAGCAGAAGAGAAATCAAGCATGTTGTGCTTGTTGGGGAGCCTTGGGCAAGAAGCAGAAGTTGGGGGTCAAGATTGGAAGCGTCTTACTCGTGGTGATCGTCATCACCCTGATGTGTGTGTTTATCAGCAAAGCAGTCGGTGGTGGTGTTTGGAACAATACCTCGTCCAATGCTCCAATTACCATGCCCCACAATCCTTGAAGGACAACGAATGGTACGTTGACAACCCTCTCGCTCATTTCTAGCAATCGCTCACCAATTATTAGAATCTCACATACTATCACACAACGCAATCCTTCAGCCAAATTCTCCCATACGAAAATCTCCTTGGGACGAGCATTGGCATTGAAGATTTCCCTACGCTACGGATAAGGTTCGCGAGTACGGTATCCACTCTCGTTTGACCCGTCGGCAAATATCTCCTTGTACATATTATTTTTCCTCACATTTTCGCCATGGTCGCATAACAAGCGGTGTTTGGTCTGGGCGTTTCGGAGTACCTTGTAGACAGGCATCAACGTTCCATCAATCGCATCCAAGAGCATTTCCACCAGACGAACCTTTGCACACCCCATTGCAATCCCACCAGACTTCTCCGATACCCACCGCCACTGGTGTCACGACCGAAATCATTTCGATTCTGTCGCATCATCGATTTTTGTTGGAACAGCTTCTTCGTTGGTTGGCTATATTCTCCCAATTGCATGATGGAGAAGGCTTTTCTCTTTTTTCTTTCCTTCTTTTTTTTGATTGTGGGCGTGTAGGATTAGGGGGGGGAAGGAAGGAGTAAATATGATTTTACCACATGTGTCTTTTCACTTTTTTTTTTCGCTCGCCTCTTTTTTTCTTCTTTCATGTGGGGTGTTGGGTTTACCTTGGAATGAATATTGCATGCGGTTTGGCTTCTAATCTTGCGTTGGGTTTTCACTTTACTGCATACGGAGGGGAAAGGGTTATTCTGGCATGAATACGAGATGATTCGTCACCTTTTTCTGCGTGGGCGGAAGGGGGATAGGCGACTGACTGACTAGCTGGCTACGCTGCGCTGCCGTCTGTGTGGATGGGCTCGCAGCAAGTAAGTAAGTAAGCTAGTATTTGTGTATAGAGAATTTGGGAAGAGGCGTTCGCGCGTCGTAGGTAGTAGATAGTTAGATGAATGGTCATTAGTGATTTGTGTCTGGTCTATATGATTTGTTTTGTTTTAGTGTGGTGTGGTCTACGTGGTGTAAGTGGTGACTTGAATTTTACTTTTTCTGGAGGAATGGGTGAATGGGTGAGTGAGTAGATGATGGATATAGTAGATGGATGGATGTTCCTGAGACGCATTGCTCTCTCTACTCGTACCCTTTTATATATCCCCTCCTAAGTCCTATTTTTTCCCTCTCTCTTTTTTTCTTTTTTAGGGGAACGACCTATTTAAAGTACTTAAGTATATATAGTACGGAGGTAGAAGGAATCTTTTGTTTATGATTTATAATCTATCTCTTTAAGGATAAGGTTATATATATAGGGTAGGGTGAGTGGGTGGTGGTATAGTTGAGAGTATAAGAGTTAAGAGTTAAGAGTTAAAAGTAGTTTAGTAGTAAATAGAAGAGTAGGTTTATAGATCTTATATATTAAAGTAGGATTGTATTGAGGTTATATTATACTAGGATAGGTAGAGGGGAATGTCACGAATCACGTGCTCACGTGATACCTGTCATTATAAGAGGCGCAACCCTCGACAGGCACATCCAGGTTTCTTATAGCAAATAGGGATCGTTTGGAGTAGCTAAGCGATCCAGGGATTTCTCCGTATTGTTATCACGTGACTAGTAGTGGTCGCTTGGTCGCGAGCGACTACAACGGCCAGGTCGTCTTGGTCGCGGCGACCAGCAGCGATCATGGGAATGAAGGTTCTATATAAGACTGGCACGTCTGCCATTAGATAGGAGCTTCGTGCTCAACTTAGTTATCAATCTTATCATATTGACAGGCACATCCAGGTTTCTTATAGCAAATAGGGATCGTTTGGAGTAGCTAAGCGATCCAGGGATTTCTCCGTATTGTTATCACGTGACTAGTAGTGGTCGCTTGGTCGCGAGCGACTACAACGGCCAGGTCGTCTTGGTCGCGGCGACCAGCAGCGATCATGGGAATGAAGGTTCTATATAAGACTGGCACGTCTGCCATTAGATAGGAGCTTCGTGCTCAACTTAGTTATCAATCTTATCATATTAGTTTGACATCTTTGATACAAGTAACGAGTTCACTTCCAAGTGAACAACCCGATAGTCTTCTTCTTATCATAGCATACCAACCAGCGAACACCCAGCCAAGTTTAGTTAGCCAGCGAGTATTCGTTACATAAATCGAACTTAAAAAGAATACTAGAGTAGGCGAGTAAAGTACTAAATAGTATAAACTAGAGTAAAATAAAGGCTCTTATTCGCTAGAAGTTATTCTTTTTATACGTAGGAGATTACGCTAAGCGAGAGACCTATAGAAAGCTATTCTCTAAGTAGCCTACTAAGTAGTTTTAGTACTCTATCTACTATACCTACCCTAGTATTCTTCTTAAGTTCGATTTACTTCGTACTACAACAACTAAGGTTGAACCCTTTTAATTTACTACCTTAGTTCTCCGAGTCGAGTTTCTAAAGTAATTTTAATATAGAAGTTCTAGATCTTATTATAAAGGGTACCCTATATAAATAAAATAATAAAATATACCTTTCCTAAGGTCAAGTTTTATATAATACCGTACCAGGGTCGAGTACCGAGTATATCCCAAACCCCTACGACCCACAGTATCTTTTCTGCCCACTGGTTCGTAGCGGCTGATTTCTGGAATGAGATTCTATTCTTGGAGATTTTTCTGGGCGTGAGAGCCTCCAACACCTCCTCTCCGTTGAGTGCGGAGTTCACGAAGTATGTAAGTCATATGTCTCGGCCCCCAAGTTTTAGCGAATCCAGCGTATCAGAGATCTAACTCTCATATAATCTGCTCGACAACCGGCAGCTTCAAATCGTGGACTGCGCATGGGTTGGATTTCGAATTTCAAGTTGACTGCTGTGTGATTCGATGTCTGAATCATTATATTGGCCATACTCGTACATAAGAGGTCGGTTTGAATTCTTGAAATTTCTTGAGAGAGAGCGAATTCCAGCTCGGTAGCACTTGGCACCACCTCCCATCTATCTAGACGCTCTCTGTTCCACGTATGCTAGCCTTCCTTTAAGATTTGGAACTAGACAGTCCGCCTCGATTAATGAGCCAGGCTTGACTTCGTCCCGGGTCGCCAGGCGAAATGTATGTAACCACTCAAGTGGTTTTTACCATTATGTAGCCACCCTAGGAAAGGTACAATTGTTTCGCCTGGGACGAAGTAAGTCCGATGCTACGAGTACAGCGTTTCTCACACCGCAGCGAACATTATTTGCTTTGCCCAAGAAAAAGTGAGAAGCGGAACTTTTTGAGAAGAAAGTGTACATATACCAAGTCACAGACGTATTTTGCGAGTAACTGTTTACTAGATAATCATGGGGTAGTGGAGTCATGAATACAATCCCTAGCAGGTCAGCATAGAAATGATAGTTGGCCTTCTGGAAGCCCAACTATTAGCCTATAACTGGGGTCTCAAGGAAGAATGGAGCTTCGTATGGCGCATCCTCAGGTATTCTAAATATATTCAGAGGCGGCAGTCGGGAGTTGTGTGATTACCGTACAGTGGAGCGGGGGAAGTATCATCGTTACTTGGCGTGGACGTTTGATAGACGTTCATTTGGGGAATGGTTGAAGGGGCATGTATAAATACACAATATCTGCTGCAGTTGTCCATTTCTTCCTCACAGTCATCTGTTCACTTCCCTTTCACTTTCACTTATTTCTTTTCCACAGTCATTCATTCAGTACATCACTTTCTTTCAAAGCATCGCTTCTTATTTACATCTCAACAAAATGCAATTCCAAACTCTCTTTATCGCTATCGCAGTTTTGGCATCTGGGTTCGTACTTTCTATCGTACCAGGCAAAAGAAAACAGCGAAACTAACAAATAATATCAGTGTGACCGCAGGCACCAACTCCTGAGCAATTTGCCGAAGCTTCGACGACCTCTTAACCCAACGCGTAAGTCATCTCCACCACTCACCCAACACCCTCAACATCACACCCTGCTGACACCACATCTCAGGCTGTTTTTGACCGAAACGCCACCATCGCAGCATGCGACAAATACAAAAACAGAAATACCGGTGAAGAGAAGTGGGATAAATGCCCAGATTGATTTTTCAACGACCAGCAAGGCGTTCAGGCCTTCTGCGATAGTAGAGGAGAACATATGGGTGGGAATGAGGTACGTTATCTTTTCATGCGTCCTTTGGATTTTTGGAGGGAAACTAACTTATTTTTTTTGGTTTTTGAAATAGTGGGAAGAGTATTATACGGAGGCTGGTGCTGATTCTAGTGCTTATGCTATTGGGAGATGAATCTTTTAGGTCGGTGGATGGTAGTGCGATGGGATACTGGTTTGCTAGACTTTACGAATTGATGACTTTTTCTTCTTATACTCTAGTTTGACAGTATTTCATAAAGCGAAATTATGTGGCTGTCTGGTCTACTTCGCATTTGTCCTGCTTTCCATACGTCGTTTTGCTGGCTCTAAAAACCAGACCAGACGACACACCGTCATCCTTGAACTTTCCTACTTATAAAGATGGTACATTCTGCGAAAGGCTGATATAAGGAAATCTCCCTTTCTCTGCCCTGGTCTATTGATTTTCTTTATCTTTTTGATTTTACTGTCCTGGCTGACAACCAACCACTCAGTTACGCATCTCGCTTGATTGTCTGGAAGCAAATGTTGTCTTTACGTCGAGAAGGGAAGCACGTTCAAGAAACTTGTTATAGAATGTTGTAGACTCTCTACTGAAGCCTGAAGGGGGGGGGGTTCAAGAATAGTCTGGGTTCCTTTGATTGAAGTGAAGATCGTTGAGTTATTCCAAGGCTCTTGTAATTCTGTTAGAGTGTGCCAGGAGCAACTCCTCTGTATCATTTTGTGGCTTTGTAAACTTTTAATGATATTTCTAAAAGTTTTCTGGGGAGAAATTATGTGAAGGTAGTCAACAACTGTGTAAGCATTTTCTTAATCACTAGAACCCTTCAGCAGGATACAAGCTCTGGCGAAAGTGTAAAACTATAGTGAATGCCCATTATACAAATTCGTAAGAGGATCCAAACTGTCTCAGCTACCCAGATTTATGGAGCCATCCTTACCTTCTGCTTGTGGAGGTAGAAGTGTAGACTGTTTAGTAAATTGGGCTATATTTGACTCTGGGGTGACTTGGTAGTGCGGGGCAGGAGGGGTAAGAGGGGTATGAACAGGGTGTTTTCAGATGAACGGTAGTCAGTTTTTAGTATCTCATTGATCCTTACGATCAAACTCAACCAAATTCTAGAGTTGCCCTTAAACGTTCCTAGCGATACCTTATCACTTCTCTCCAACCACAATTTCCCATATCCAGCAGTTACACAATGAAGCTCATCGATTTTCAACGCACTGCTTCCCAACCGCTGAAGCGGGATCAAGCCCTGCAGCAAGATATATCCGCATGTATCGAGGATCTTACTCTCGACAACGTCGACAAGAACTCTTGGATCTATCATCTACCAACAGACAAGAAAGAGGAATTGCTTGCCTTCATCAAATCAGCAAAGTCTGCTATTCTCAAGAATCGCAACATCCAACAAAATGAAGAGTATTCCCGCAAGGCCACATTTCACCGACTTCCACAACTTGCAATCGAGGTAAGTCCCATTCTCGGGGTTTGAAAACTTTTGATTTGGCAACTACCAGGGCTGATCTACACTGTGCCCGAACTGTTTTCTCTCGCCTTCGCCCGTGCCAACCCCTGAATCCTACTGACTTCAATTTTCTGGGTAGTTACGACGCCATATTTGGGGCGAAATGATTAAGCCATCTCAAAATCCACGAGTCCATGCTCTCAAGTTCAACAACCGCACCAAAACCTTCATCTCCAACCAACCAGTCTCACCGCTCCTTGCTATCTGCCGAGAATCCCGCGACTATTACCTCCTCAATACGGCCAACGGATTTTGTTTTGGCACCGGCGTCAACTATGATATCGATACATTCCACCTCCTTGAGATCCCCGACCACAGACGTGAGGACCCCGAAGTACCTAATCTCTTCCAGGCTCTAGAGTTCAAACTGATCCAGAAATTGGCGGTGACAAAAGAGCTTTTCTTGGGTGTCACTGGAGCGAAGTGGCTTAATATTCTCGGTTTCATGCAAAGGTGTCACGTCACAGTTATTTTCGACGATGATAGAAGCTCTGGCGTCTGTTGGGCAGACCTGGACGTTTCGTTTCGGAAGCTTTCTGCTGATGAGGAAAATCAGCTCGCGGACAGGTCGAGTGTGCGAGAGAACTGGCTTCTTGTTCGATATGTTCTAGAGGGAAAATGCTCACTTGAGTTTGCTTGTGTGGACAAAGAGTCTTCTATTCAGCATTGGTATTGAGGCGTGAAAGACCTTTTCGCTAATCATAAGGCGCTGCCACGTTCAAGGGAACTACGTCCGAGGGAACTGGAACTTGATTTTCAAAACCAAGCTTCTTGTGCTTAAGCCGGCTTAAGCGGCAAAACCCCTCCTGTAATTATTTTCAAAATGCTAGTCAGGGACTGAACGTACTTGGGGGGTTTCAGGAAACCACAAATGAAAAATACGTTGATTTTGAAGACCGCATATAGAAGAGCAACAACTGCAGTGAGTAGTGACATGTAGAGTAATCTTGATTCGTTTTTGAATGACTTCTTCGTAGGCCCCCTTCTTTCCATTTACTGAGAGTACCAAAAGCTTGTTCATAACCTATTATCAATATAGTTTTGAGTTATAATCGTAGTTACTATATAGTAGTTTATTCAAATCATTAAGACAAATCTCTCGTGTAACATATGAAACCAAAAATTGGATTTCTCCTAGCGAATAAGAAAAGTAGTAGAGAAACCTATTCCTTTATGAGTTTTTTGAGTATTTAACTAGGTGTCAAAGTATTACTAGCAGTATAAGGACCATTCTAGAACAAGGTTGAGATTAATCGCATGAAGTGAAGGGATCCAAAGGTTAGCTACTATTTATACTAAACAAAGTCTACGCCCATTCCCAATTAGATAACTCCTAACTCTCACTGCTATTCACCAAGCGAACGAACCCATATTCACCAATCCATTCGTACTCGCACACCAAATCCCTGTGTACTTATAGATGCTATTGGACTCCAGTCCTACAGGAGCGGAGTAAGCTAGTCCTGAAGGAGTAGAACAAGCTAGGTAATAGTCATTCACTATTCCATAGCGACAAATAAGCTTATAGGAACAAGCATCAGCCACGTTTCTTGTCTACTAGGAAAGGTACGTAAGTAGAGTGAATGAATTGGATCTCAATCTATATAATACGGGTCTCCTCTGATCATTAGTCTTCCTTCGACCACTTTCCCTCCTCTACTACACAACATCCAGGAAGCACCCGAAATACACAGCATCTCAACCAAAACTATCAAGCAAATCCCTATCAGGAACTTCCCACCAAAATGGGAAATCACAACTCCCACCCTCAAGACCAAAACAACCACACCCACACCATCACGCAACCCACCAACGCCTCACCAGGCCGCAACCTCCCCACCGAACTCCGCCTCCAAATATGGTCCGACTTCCTCAAAGCCACACACTTAGAAACCCATCCAAGAATCCACGCCCTCAAGCTCAACCCACATACAAACCAATTCCACTCCAACCAACCCATCTCCCCACTCCTCCACATCAGCCACGAGACCCGCGCTTTCTACCTCGCGAACCCTCATACATCGCCGGGGTTCAGTAACTACATCAACTTCCCGCTCGACACTTTGTATTTCCTCCAGGACCCAAATCTTAGAGACCAGCTCACCACGTTCCTTACACGCACACCTGGTCATCAAAAGATCGAGTAACTGGCAATGGAGTATAAGTCGTTACCCAGAACCATGGATATACAAGAGACGTGTGGCCGAATGACTAGCTTGAGAAAGTTTGTAACGGTGTTTGATGATAAACGGAGCCTTGCTAATGCTTGGGCGGATCATGATATCTCGTTTAGCTGCACTTGCAAGGAACTTGATATGCATGTTGCTAGGCGCGGGGGGCTTTATGAGGCTAGGGAGGTTTTTAACGATTTGGATATGGAGAATTATTTGAAGAAGCATGGAAATTCTGTGAAGCATTCCTACGGCTACATCAATAATTCTTTATTTGGATGATTTGGTAAGGGATGGACTATATCTGTGTTGACCAATGGGAGGAGAGGTTACTGTAGCTGAAGTTTATGTAATACTTTAACTTTGGTAGTAGGTTTTCCCTCCTAATTTCTATGAAATTATGACCATACAACTAACAGCCACTAGCTCATCTTTCTAAAAACAACACGGGTTCCAGACACGATACATTCTCAATAGTGCGATATGGGAAATGTAAGTCATCATACATACCCTCTTGTTTTTCCAAATCCTAACAAGACTTAGGGGAGACAATGCTTAGCTTTTCATAGAGAAAAATTACATTCCATATTTCTCCCATCCTCTACACAACTTGTATTGCGCAACTGTAACCCCACAAAAACCATAAAGTGAGATTTCCATCAGTCAGTTACTACGATACCACTTAAAATTCCTAATCCCATACTCCAACTATCATACACATCCAACCCCCATCCCAATTTCCTCCATCATACACAAACCCTATCCAACCCACTCAACCCATTCACCTACAAATCCAACACCAAACACCCCCTACTTCCCCCCATCCGGCATCCCCTCCCCACTCTTACTATGATACTGCCCCCTCAGAAACTGCTCAACCTGCACATCATGCTCCGGTCTCCTCGGCGGAGTCTCCCTTCCTTTCTCCTTCTCCTTCTCTACCCTCTCCTCCTCTTCTTTCTGCTGTGTCGTCGACGCAAGACCGGGGATATACGAAAGTACTATGTATATCAAAATCAGCACTCTTCCTCTCTCCCTCCCTGCCTTTCCCTCCCCTCTCCCAATTATTGTAAACATACCCTTCCCAACAACGCCCTCTCCTCCCTCTCCACCAGACCTTGGCTTCCCAAGCGCAGCCTCATTCAAGGCATCCTTCATATCCCCCTTCATAAACCTATTTCCCATGCTATCCTTTGCGAAGTTCTCCGGGTCATGGTTAGGGTTGTAGGACGGGTTTGTTTCTTTGTTTAGGGTGTTTTGGAGGGAGGTTGCGGTGTTTGCTGCTGTGGTCTTTATTTGGTCAAGGGTGGAGGGTTGGTGGGACATTTTGATTTTGATTTGTTGGTTTGTTTGAAGGAGAGGATGTTGTGAGGACTTGAGGAGAATGTGTCAGAACTGGAGAGGGATTCGTTAGCTAGGGATACTCCAGTATTGATACTCTCGCTTTGGGGTAAACTTGTACAAACTAGTAGGTGAGAGACAGACTTAGCTGTTTTACTTCCCTGTTTTAAAGAGAAGTTGTAGAGCTCAGAATTCCAGAATGTAAATTTTGAGATTCTCGTAGGGAAAAGTTCAAGACCCTTCTTTGTAGGTACGAGTAGGCAAGTCAAGTATCTAAGTGGTGGTGGGGTTGGACCTACTAGCTGCCACATGCTTAGTGACGTACTGCCCAGACAAGGATGACGACCCTGGCTGTAGATCAGAATGCTTGTACGACATTGACTTCCGATGTACGAGTATAACCTAGAATCAATACCTATGGGTAGGTACTTAGTTAAGTACTATTTTCACTCTCCTCTTATACGCCTTTAAAAATAACACGTAATGTTTCCAAACATCTCTACAGATAAAACCCTAATTACTAAAGAAAATGAAATTAAAATAATCTACCTAAGTAGACTAATTTATAAGAATAAATAATAATAGTACCTTCTTATATATATATATATAAAGTCGTAGTTATAACTCTAAATATTCACCTAATTTAGAATAGAATTATTCCAAAACTCTTATATAACAAAAAATCATATCAAGAGTTTAAACAGTTACTAACGTAGTCCACAAGCGAGTTGGATTCCCAAGCGAAATGGATTTTTTTCTTGGCATTTTATAAATTCTTAAATATCTCACGACACAATTAATTAAATTAATTACAGTATTCAGAATCGGAATCCTCACATATTTCTTCTCCTTTTTGACAAGTTCGTATGTTATGGCCATGTTTCCCACATAGTCCACAGCGCCGGCGAGGTACTAGACTCGGGCTCGTACAATTACTATTTTCTACTAAAACCACTTGTTCTTGCAAATCAACATTACTAAGGACCCCTAAATCTTGCGCATCTTGGAGAGTAAGTGATCCTCCTTCCTGTAATCGGCGCTTTTTCGNCCCCTAAATCTTGCGCATCTTGGAGAGTAAGTGATCCTCCTTCCTGTAATCGGCGCTTTTTCGTACGACGACGCCGACTAAGTTGATCATTTGCTGTACGAAGTGTAGCATCTTCAGCTCGTAATAAAGCTACCTCAGTGATTGCACGCTGTGCACCCTTTGCAAGCTGGTCTAGGCCATATAGAATCTGGGTCGGAGAACTATCTTGGTGTCGTACGACCTTGTTTTGTATATATGACGTCTGGGAATATGCCTCTGTTATGTTATTTGGGGTCTTTGGTTCCCAAATAGCTAGGAGGCTTGTTGAGGTAGATGGACGTGACGGAGTCCTTGGACGTATATCAAGCTGTGAAATCACAGAATCTGGATCGTACGGCACTAAGCCAGATCCTCGAAATCCTCCTCGAATGTTTGATTCAGTCATTGTCGTACGAAAGGCAGTATAGAATGTTGATAAGAAATCCTCCTTAGAAACATATGTAATGTGGAGTCGCATAAATTTCTCAAGTTCAGCACCGTACGACCTTTTTAACGCTCGAAAACATCCTACATCGAGTGGCTGGAGTCTATGAGAGGAATGAGCTGGCATGCAAAGAGTAATAATGTTATTACTCTTACAAAAAAGCTCAAAATCGACTGAGTGGTGGCTTTCATGGCCATCAAGCACAAGCAGCCGGTGAATGCCCTTCGTACGAAGCTTTGTATGCCGATCGAAATGAAAAATCCAATCTAGGGCTCGCTCATTTGTTGTCCAGCCATTTGTAGTTACAGCAATTACCCAGTCGCGTGGTAATTGGCTGTTTTCGTACCAGGAGGAGAGGTGGTTCTTCCCCGCCAAAATGATATATGGAGGCACTACAAAGCCGTACGACCCAACACCTTGAATTACTGTTGCCCATTCCCGGTTTCCTTGCTGTACTGTACGAGGCCGAGAAAGCCTTTCGGTACTTGTAACAACCATTTCTGATGTAATTTGGCCCATACAAAACCCAGTCTCGTCAAAGTTATAAATATCCTCCTCCTGAATCCCATATTTGTCAATTATATTTCGTACGAGGCGAAACCACGCGTTATACGCGTCTGGATTTTCGCATTGGACTCTTTGATAATCAATCCTTCGATTAAAACGCGTCTTAAGTTCAGGTTGTCGTCGTACGAAGTTCGAAGTCCAGTTCTTGCCAACGCGTCCTGCACCCCGCTCCGAGAGGATACGATTCGCCATATCTTCAACACAACGTACTCGTGGGGGAAATGATCGAGAATCTAGGTCGAGAATATGTCGTACGATAACTATTTCTTCAATCTCTGTAAGTTTTCGAGATTTAGCGATAGAATCTTGTCGTGATAATATTCCATGAGTTCGATTAAGCAATGTCGTATAAGGTACTTTATAGACCCGCGCAACCTTCTTAACTTTTAAATGTGGGTTCGTACGAAGCGTATTTAACGCAAGAATCATATCAGACTCCGTCCAATGCTTAACCATTTTGTTTGTTAAGAAAAAACGCGCTCTGAATAAGTTTGTGGAGTGCCAAGAAAAAAATACATTTCGCTTGGGAATCCAACTCGCTTGTGGACTACGTTATTCCTTTTAATTAATCTAGATATCTTATATTAATACAATTTATTTCTCTATAGAAGAAGTTTAGTAGAATAACTTTTTTATATACCTAATATATAAAGTAACAAAGAGGTATTTATATATCTACAGGTTATTTTATTTTAGTTAAGAATTTATAAATATACTTATAGATACCTAGGTATTATATTTAACTACTTTATTTCTTATTTCTAAGTGTTATATCGGATGAATTTACCCTCCCTCCTAGGTATCGAGTATCAAGTAAGTATAGTAATAATATCAAGAATTCATATCTAATACTTAACTTAAAGATATTACGAGTATCGATATAAGTCTTTTAAGTCTATACTTTATTACGTTACTTATATTACATCCACAGCACATCCACAGCATCTACAGCATATTTCTCATTAACGAGAGGGAAAACTCAATATATTAATTGACACCTGACTTTTCCTTCCAGCCCCTTAACGCTTAACCACTACCTACTACCTACTGACATCTCCAACTTCCAACCTTCAACTAATTACCCGTCCCTTCTTCCATCCATCCATCCATCCCCAAAAACTAAACCCAGCGCGAGAAGAAAGCAACGAGTAAAGAAACGAAAAAGACGAAAAAAGAAAAGGGGAGGGAGGGGGGTGTGAAGGAGTGTAGGTGTGAACTTATGTACATTATTTGTGTGAGAGAGTGTGATCATCGAGGAAATTTCCTCTTCTTGAGGGTTGTGTTGAAACCTTTGATGCGGGCTTTGGAAGGGGAAGATGGAGGGAAGTGGTAAGGAAATGGATGGTGTCAACTTAAGTGATTTTTTGAGAAGGGGGAGATGAGAATCGGGAAGTAATAACGAGGGGAGTGTATTTTCGTATGTGATGATTCTCCATGCATGGTGACCATTCTAAACACCATTAAAAAACTTCTCGCCCATTGTGTTGATGTATCAAACACAGCCCACCAAACGCCCCAACCCACAACCCCTCAACGACGAAAACTCTCCCTCACCCCCTTCACACACCTCCTAATCCCCAGCAACCCCAACCTCGGCGGCGTCCACCCAGGATACTTCTCCAAAAACACCTTCCACTTCTTCCGATCCCGCCAGCTATCACAATCTGTCTCCTCCACCAGCCGCCACACATGCGCCAGGGTGTGCCAATACCACGGCGCCTTATGGGGACCAAAGATCGCCTCGGGCGACGCGCACCGAGGGAAGGAAAAGGTTTGGTACGTCCACGGACGGGGATTCTCGTCGAACTTGGATTTGTCGTGTACGAAGTCGATGGTGCGGAGATGGGGGTGTTCCATGATGAGGTCGAAGAGGACGGCGTTGGGGAGGCCCTTCCTGGATGGCAGGGAGGGGAGGGCGTGGTCTTTTTCCGAGATGAATTTGCCCATTAGGTCGGCTTTGAAGACGAGGTTGGTGAGGGGGATGTGTTTGGCTAGTTTCCGGAGGGTGCTGAGGAGGCCGGTGGTCGTGCAGTAGGTGATGAAGTAGATGATGTCCACTTCGTTGAGGTAGATGAATTTCTTACTTTCGTTTATGATTAGGGGCCAGGAATTCATGAAGATGGTGCTGGGGACTTTGTAGAAGTACTTGGTTAGAGCTTCGCTGCGGGCTTCCTTGTCGAGGTGCAGGACGGTGGGTACGGGTCCGGATTCGAGTTTGTAGCATTGGACGTAGCGGTCGCCGATTGTTAGGGTCTTCCAGCTGGCGCGGATGACGCGACGAGGGTGAGATGCGTACTTGTAGATGCGCCAGCGGACTTCGATGGGCAGGTTGTTGAAGAGTTTGAAGTTTCGAATCTTCTTGCGTCGTCCATTGGTATATTCTGGATCACCGTTTGGGGTGGCTGATGTGGCAGGTGCTGCTGTTTTTTGCTTCTTGGGTGGTACCATTTTGTTGAGGAGTGGAAGTGTTAGGCGAGATGTTTGATGATGATGTGGTGTGGGCGTAGTAGGGATGTCTGATGAGCAAGCAAGTCAGTTGATTGCTATTCAATGATTTTGTGAAAATGGCCAGAGGGAGAAGTTGGTGTGAACTTACAGTTGAGATGACAAACCAGTGTCAGACCTCTATGGGCTGAAGCCAGGAGAGCTTTTGAGGTGATTGGAAAGGCCAAATAGAAAGATGAATTTGTTGAAAGGTAAGAAAGCAGGACAGGTGAGTCAGGCTATGACCAGATCACTCTTAGGTAACGCAGATGAGACCAAGATTGAGACCAAGATTGAGACCAAGATTGAGACGGTGGTAGAAGTGGAAATGGTGGTTGAGTTGTCTGATCAGAGAGAGAGCCTTTTCTTGAGAAGATTTTGAAGAAGCATGAGTGGGTCCTCTTAAAAAGAACACTTGCTCAGCAAAGATCTGAAACTTGCTCAGAGAAAATTTGAAGGTCAAGATGACATCGACAATACTCTTCATCAGTGAATAAAAGTGAAGAACAGCTGATTTTGAGAACACAGCCGCCCTGTCTGATTGATATCTTGAAAGTGAGGTTGTACGAGCAGAAGCAAATGAGATACGATAAGGAGAATCAACAGGTGTAGGATGAACTTCATCACTTCACCTTTCTGATTCCAGATTTTTTGCACATTAACAAGATGGGGAAAGGAATTGAAAACTTGTAGCTCATGAAAGTGTCATTGAATATCGCTGATGCAATACCTGTGAAAGATAACCTAAATCACATCATCCTAAACTCCATTCCCATTCCCATTCCCATATACGCCTACCACTATTGGCAACATTCGTCCCTACCTCTGGCCTTTTTCCCGAGTTCCGTTATATTTTACTCGCTGGGAAATAATTTCGCAGAAAACATTCTTCTCATTGTCCAAAAGCACCACTTGGTCTTGTCTCGGGTTTGGCAAGTCCAAGTTTCTCCTTCTTAATTCTTGGGAAAACCCCAATCACGATCAATACGGAACAGACAAGAACAGCCCAAAGCTTGATGTCCAACACATTCTTGTTGTAATCAGTCTGAGTTGCTGCAGCCACCGTTGCCAACAAAAGAAGGAAAATAATATATCCGCTGATCCTGTGCCACTTGTAGAGGGACTTTGCCTGGTTTACCCCTCCATATAACTGCGGCACGAAATATGCTGTAAAGCCAACCAAAGCTTGGAGGGCCAGAACGATATACGTAATAAGGCCGAGGATTGCGTGAACAGACTGGAGGTGATGAGGAGGGTTATTCCGAAATTTGTTGATCTCGATAATGATTAGGCCAGCAATAAGAGAACTAACGCCCAGGGTATTCAAAGTGAAATGAGCAATGGTGCCTTCTCGTTTCTGCTGGGCTGTATGCGTTGGTTGAACAATAAGAATGGCCTGGGTTATGAACAATATACCGGCCGAGTTCAAAAGAGGATGAGGAGAGACGAAGGGGAGTAGCTTATTGAGAAAGACGCTGGCCCAAACGGAAGCTATGAGGAGGACGATTCCAGCCTGCGCGATGGCGGCAGTGCCTGTGAAAGCCAGTTAGCTGTAGCTCGGAGAAAGTGGTGAGTTCATTGACTCTTACCAATGTAGACATTGTGGTAGAGTGCTCTTCCCTCAGGCTGAGAAACATCTCCACGACGACCCAGAAGAGGTTCGTCTTCTCTACGGCCTTCGTCGTGTATGTGCGCATGGGCTGGAGAAGCCTCCGGAATGCCGGTCGCTGACGCCATACTCGAGTAGCTATATTGTAATGTGGGTAGTTTGGTGATGCGGCGACGAAGGGTACTCGCCAACGTTCAATGGGAAATAACAAAGCTTAGAAAGAGATGTCACGGAGATGGTAGGAGAAGAAAAGAAAGGGAATCGTTAGTGGGAAGAGGCCGCTGTTGCATCATAGTCGCGGATCTGATTAGGTAGGTACCGACCTAGCAGCTGAACCATTTTGGGCTTGGAGTTCTATGCTCACACAACGCAATTGCTCACTTATGACGCGGATAGGATTTGTTGCCACCAATCGGCGTCGTTGTATTGCAATCCGGGTCGCGAAAAAAGTTCTAATTGATTGCGCCATCCTTGTACATGTACAACCATCAATTTATTGACATGGACATCAAATAAGCTGTGCGAGAGCGAGAGCTGCAGATTTGGTGCGAACGCCTGCAATAATCCAACCCGTGCGTGGTTTGTTGTCCCTTACAGTAGACGCAAATGGTTCACTATCAGTCTCAAGAGAGTCAAGATAGATAGACCTTCGAGCCTCAAAACTCCGCTCGCAATGATTGGTCTAAAGTCAAACGTGGGGTCGGCGTTGCCTATCAGAACTCCAGTCATTTTACTGTTACTCGATACCACTACAGAACGGCTACAGTATTCAGATCACAACCGAAAACTCCATAAGAAGTAGTTTATTCTCTCCTTACAAACGACCACCTCCACTGCATCCCCTCAGAGAGTCACGTTCACCATGTCCTCCGACACGGAATACAAGCTAGAGAATGTTGCCGCCACGGTCATCGAGTCGGACAAGATTGATGCAACCTTTCGATCTTCTACTATAGGTGAGAGCAATTTCGTAATGTCGCGGCTGTGCTCATCGTGACCTTGAAAGACAACTAAGCAATGCTCCGATGCTTCATGGGTCATCCAAAGCCACTGTTGCCTTGGGATCAGCATGGTGGGCAAAACACATGTGATCTGGGACTGATGCCGATGCCTCTTTAGATCTCATTTCTGGAGCTTTAGGTGGAAAGGTTCTCTCTTTTTCAGATGAGTGGTTTGCGGAGGCATCCAATCTCCTAACTCCCACTCCACCCATTCGTCAGCCAGGAAAGATGGTCTACACTGGCGCCTGGTACGATGGGTGGGAGACTCGTCGTCACAACACTGCCCCATTCGACTATGTAGTCATTCGTTTGGGGGTTGCTTCCGGTACAGTTGAAGGCATCGAAGTCGACACAGCCTTCTTTTCCGGTAATCATGCACCGGCAATTTCCGTCGAAGGCGTTTTCAGTTCAAGTGACGAGGAAGTAATCAGCTGGAAGGGAGAGCACGGGAAATGGGAAACTATCCTGGGCTTCCAAGAGTGTGGTCCCTCGAAGCGTTTTGGGTGGAAGTTGGATAGCCCTACCAAAAAAGCTTACACACATGTTCGTCTCAACATGTACCCGGACGGCGGCATTGCTAGGTTCAGACTCCTTGGTCATGCAGTTCCCGTCTTTCCCGAGGACAAAGAGGCCGTATTCGACCTTGCTGCAGCTCAAAACGGCGGAGTAGCTATCTCATGTAGCGATCAGCACTTTGGTGTCATAGCCAACCTGATCCTTCCAGGAAGAGGGAAGGATATGGGTGATGGCTGGGAGACTTCAAGATCTCGAGGAAAGGATCATGTTGATTGGGCCATCATCAAGCTAGGAGCAAAGGGAACAATTCAGAACTTGGTTGTTGACACTGCATTCTTCCGAGGCAACTTCCCTCAAAAGGCAAAGGTTGAAGCTATCGACTGGTCGGGTGAAGGAGAACCAGGAGTTGCTGCTGATGGCTGGGTGGACGTTGTCGTGCCTAGCAAGTGCGGACCGGATCAGGAGCATGAGTTTGAATCATTGATCAAGGATAAGCCATTTACTCATGTCAAGCTGGTTATGATCCCTGATGGAGGGGTAAAGCGCATTCGTGTCTTGGGTAAAAGAACTGTCTAAACGATACCTCTACGATGCGATATAGATAGGGAGTTCGTCTATATTTTCAGACGAAACGATAATTGCAGAGTCTGCTAGAAGTACTGTACATAGATTCGGTCTGTGAATCTCGAAAAGGGGCATATGCATATCCATTGGGAAGCGAGAACATACCAACCTGTTCATCATCAATTTATATTGGTCCATTGTTTCACTAATGAATGTACAAATAAAGCGACAAGGACTCATTCAAATGCGACTTATATATGGCGCACGGGCCACCTTTAGTGGGCTGTACCGAGTACGCCAACCCACTTCCTTCCAGACGAGACAGGCGAGGCGTGGCATCTATGCAAAGCCCAACGACAGTTTTCCTCCCTTTGAATCTTGCGCGGTTAATCGATTCTTTCTAGAGACTGGTTTCAGGTACATATGCCCACCGGTGGATGATTACGGACTACATGCAGTCCTTGTTCAGCAATGGATATTGGGGATAATGGCGGGGATATCAGCGGCGGATTCGGTGACGAGCCACAGAAGAAACCCAAGGCCCTTCCAGATGACCTCCCCAAGTCTCTCGATGACCGGAAAATCGTCCCTTCCCATTATGTGCCGGAGACGGAGATGTATGATGCGTGGCAAGGTAATAGCATCTTCTATCGGACGCCTATGAAACGAACTGACCCCAACAGGACAATCACAATTCCTGACGACTCCTATGCTTGCGAAGCCACTCCAATTCAATAGTCTCACTCTCGACGATAATTCCTACGAGGAGGACCTTGCGACGCAGAAGGTGGGCGATAGTGACACAAGACTTATGGAGATGCTTGCTGCGCAAGCGGCGCACCGAGATGGAACTGCGAGCGAGGACGAAGATGCTGTGGCTTCTAACCAGAAGTTGACGGACTCGGAAAAGAAAGATATTCTACAAAAGGCTCTCAATATGGCAGCAAGTAACGGAGATGTGGACCGAATCCAGCGAATATTAAATGGGAAGGCAAAGGATCTGGTAGACATTGATGCGCCAGATGAAGAGGGCACGGCACCTCTGATATATGCCAGTTGCTTTGTAGGGATATACTTCGGAGATCTATGAGAGAATGCTAATGGATTTTCAGGGCCATGAGGCGGTTGTGACAGCGCTTTTGGACGCCGGGGCCAATGTTGATAAGCAGGATCGAAATCAGTGGAGTGCCCTCATGTGGGCCATGACGAACCGCCATAAAAACATTGCAAAGTCATTACTGGATCATGGCGCCTCACCAGAGGTCAAGTCGTCTTCTGGGCGTACCGCTTTTGATTTTGTTGCGCCAGATAGCGAAATATCTGGCTACTTGCACGATAGTGGATACAATATCGGAAGTGTGGGTGTAACTGATGATTTCTATAATCCTGGATTTTCACAAGATCGGTTTGAAGAGGAAATGGCAGAAAATGAAATGAGAAGACGTATGATGATGGAAAGTGCTCGAGACTTAGAGGTTGACTTGGGAAATGTTGGAATTGACGACCAGCCCGAGGTAACAACTAGTCATACTTGGACCAAGAAACCCACTAATTTTTATAGTCACCTGAGGAATTGGAGGAGGAAATGCAAGAGTTTGACTGGTCAAGATGCCTACATGATCAGATGTTTGTATTCCAGGAGAGTGAGTTGAGTCGAATACTGGATATCATTATTACCAAAATGACTCCACAACGGTCTCCGTCTCAAAAACCAGTCCCGGCCAACATGATATTTCTCAGTGCTCGATATGCTCACTACCATGCGGACCAGAGCCTCCTTGCAAACCTGCTAATTACTGCAATGGACAAGATCAATGATGTTGTGGAGAAAAATCAATGGGATATGACAATTTTGGCCTTTTGGATATCCAATGCGACTTTATTGCTACATTACTTGAAGAAAGATGCCGGGCTATCGGATTCGACATCCGATTTTCAATTGCAACTTGCAGAACTAGTCAACGAAATCTTTATTCTCATCATCAGAGATGCGGAGCGAAGAATGGACAAGGTTCTGGATGCAGCTATGTTGGAACATGAAACGATCCCGGGGTTTGAGGATATTGCTTTCCAGCATGAATGGAAGATTTTCAAGAGGAAAAACCAGGTCAAGGAAGAACCAGCTGAGAAACGATTTCGACCTCCCTCGCCAAAAGCAAGAGCCAAACCAGCACCACGCAACATTACATCCTTGTTATCTTCAACGCTTTTCGTTTTGGATTTGTATGATATCCACTCTGTTATTACTGCTCAAATATTGGCGCAATTGCTGTATTGGCTAGGGGCAGAATTATTTAATCGCATTATGTCGAATCGCAAATACCTGGCGAGAACCAAAGCCATGCAGATTCGAATGAATATTTCCACTTTAGAGGAATGGGCCCGAACTAACAATCGTCAACCAGAGCATTATGAACATGGCTCGATGACATCGAGCGGTGAGCAGACAATCGATGCGGCTAGACGGCATCTTGCTCCTCTGATACAACTTTTACAATGGTTACAGTGCTTCTCTTCCTTAGGGCAGGATGACTTGGAAGCGTTAGTGGGTACACTACAACAACTGACACGACTTTCATCACAACAGTTAATTCATGCTGTGAAGCACTACCGGCCAGAAGTCGGCGAGAAGGGACTGCCTAAAAGCGCGATGAAATATTTGATGGACATGCAAAAGGAGATCAGAGCTCGCAAAGAACGACAGAGGAATTCTGTCGTGTCACTTAACACGACTCCAGTCAAGAAGAGTAGCAACAGCAACAACGGCAAACCACCTGACACGCCGGAATCGAACATCGAGGAAGCGCCGATGGATGAGGAGTACGACGCACCAGAGAATCTTTTATTAGATCCTGCACTCATGCTCCCATTTTCTCTGCCTACGAGTACGGATATGTTGGTGAGTTACGGTGCTGGATTTGGAGGGCTGAATCGGGAACGAGAACGAAAATATATTCCTACGGTGCCTCCGGAATTTTTGGCCAAGCTGGATCTCAATGGAGGTCGACAAAATAGTACATATGAGGAACGTGATTGGGAGAATGAAGAAGATTAGGTGTTGGGGGGTGGTACATGAACTATGATATCTGCTCGGGGATTTTTTCCTTAAAAAAAAGGAAGCATTTTGGAAGCATTGCGTGGCATCTTTTTTTTTTTGAAACAGGCGTTCCTAGATGTACATGGATGGAGGATATTTTTTCTCTTTTTTGTGATTTTGTTTTTCCTCTTGCGGCATGCGATTCAAATATGACCTGACCTTTCAACTACAGTTATCGAGTAGGAAGTGTACATGGTTAAGAAGTCCAGAATATGATGGGGATACCATGTCATGATGCGAGGGATGTCTATTGTTGATGAGTCTAGACTGGTGATTCGCTGGTTCATGAAATGACCATTCGACGATTTCTACTGATGATTCTTTTTTTTCCCTTGGGGAGAGCTGGAGGGCCTTTTCCCGCTTTCGTACTCGAGTACAGTACTCGTACGTAAATTTACTAGCTAGTGTAGTGGCGTAGTGTGGTGTAGTGTAGTGTAGTGACTCGGATGAGACAATTGGATTGTTTGTTCACTGATTTGCGCTAATTTTGATAAGGGATGGGATGGGATGAGATGGCATGACATGGCATTGTTTGTCTCACAGTCACCGCTTGATTGTTCGTGAGATGGTGAGGTGATGGTACTAATGCTAGCTCGAGGTCTGATGAGTAAGTCTACGTACTCCGTACTGTAGGACGAAGCTGGGGTTATGGGGTTTTTCTGATGGGAATACTTGAGGTGGGATGGATGGGATGGGATGGGATGGGATGGGTTAGGTGGTTTGATGTATGGACAAGTAATGTAATGTTTTTTCCTCTCTTTCCTTTTTGCGCTTTCTTGTCATGGAAGTGCAGATAGTCTCTTGGTTCTTTTTTTCTCTTAGCAGAGTACGGAGGAGCGAGGGACGGGACGGTGTGGTGTGTGGATGGAGGATGGATGGGATGTCCACGTGGAGTGGTTCGTCTACCTAATCAGCTGGGGGCGGTCGAGGCCTGGGTGCCACGTACTGCCCACGTACTGTACCTCTGTACTGTACAGTGTGTTGTGCTGTCGTTTTCTTGTGTTGTGTTGTGGTTGTGGTTGTGGTTGTGCGGTGAGGAGGTTGGGGTTTTGCAATTTTTGTGAGAGTGGGTTGGGAGGGAAAGGGAGGTTAATGATTGATATACATCTGGGATTGGAATTGGGATTTGAAACATATGTTGGTGGTTTGAAAGGTTCCGGATATGACCTATCCTATGAGCTTGACTGCATTTGATTACCGGGACGGAGGATAGAATAGACTCCATCCATCCATCCACCCTTTAAACCTTGAATGTTGCAGGTGCTTTCTGGCAACATGACATGACATGGGGAAAGCAAGCGTGCCGAGTTTACAGCACTAACTTTACTGAAGGTACGAGTAGAGTTGGCGATTTTCGGTCCCGTCTGCGGGACAATACCACATTTCGGGCACAGACTTGTCGGGCTGGCCGTGCCTCCTCCTCCCCCCTCCTCTCCATCCCTTGAAATCTTTTGATACCTGTGATGGAGCCCGGGCGGTTCATCTGCATCTGGACGTACTTCTATGTACGAGTCCCAGACGCCGATGTAATTTCCAGGCTCCTTCTCCTGCTGTGCCTGCCGAGTCCCTTGCAGCGCTGGAATAGGCAAGAGGGTAGAGAGGAGAGAGAGGGTAGACAGGAGCCAATCACTCTGAGCCATCTAGAGCCAGCTCTGGTGATGTCTGTCCAGCAGAGAGCAGGACAGCGGGTGGCCAGAGTGCAACCGCATCTTGAATCCCTTTTTTGATAGGTCTTGAGGTCTAGCGTTGACAGCGCGCAGATTTTCTGGACTATGGCGTGGACCAGTGGATCCTACTGCACCACACAATGGCGAGGCAGGCCTGTACTTGTAGCCTTGAGCGTCTGCTGGGGATCATTTTTTGGCCTCGCGCTCCCGCCGATAGAGTTTCACTACAGGCGAACTGGAACTCTGGTATCCTCACTCTCTCCGCGTGGGAATTTGATATTAGTGACCTGTGGCCCCACCTCTCTCCACTGCGACCTCACTTCTCTCTCTCTCTTCACTTGCTTCTTCTGGAAATCTCTTCTCTTGACCTCGTTGTGTCGTCTCTTCAGATCGGTGGTCTAGCGACAAGCAACACCTCCACCATTTCAACTTTTTTTTTCCTCTCGCAATCTAACAATTCTGCTGCACACATCCGATCTGACCCCAAAACCTGGTCTGCCGCACAGGGGTGAGCTTACCTCACGCATCACCAACCGAGCCTCCTAAGATTGGATTGGCATTGCTTGATACCAGTACGAGACTACCCAGTACTAGTAGATACCAGTGGAGGAAAACAATGAAGAATGGCGCCCTCACGTTCTGGCACGCTCCGATCTAAATCCTCCAGTGTGAGAACTGCAAACCGACCACACCTTCACTCACAACCCAACACGCCCGTGGATGAATTGATCGCGTTCCCCTACGAACAAACCTTAGCTGCTAAGAAGCCACTGGCAGTCACAGTCCCACCACCACGCGCGCCGCCCTCCGATACACATCCCGCCTTGAGAGTTCGTCCACACGCGAGTTGGGAGGACGACAAGAAGAGAGATTCAGGCCTGGCGCCAACAACCAGTTCAAAGGCCAGGGAAGGATCCGTGAATACGGTGGAGGAGAATGTGCCGGGAGTACCCATAAACTTTAATTCACCACCGCCTGTGCCTACGCTTACAAGTAAAATGTCACTTCCCGCTGAAGATGCCCCCAACGCGCCGATCCCTCCTATCACGCCAACCGCGTCTCGCGAGCCAAAGAGTCCGACTTCTGTACAGAGCTTTTGGAAGAAGGCCAAAAGCGTCAGGAGCGTTCGGTCGCCAGCTACACCAGCATCTCCTGCCTCACAATCGGCCGAGGGCCTGTCGCTCATTACTACGTCTATCCCAACTGAAAGTCTCCTGGAAGAGGGTTTCTTGAGTCAATTGTCTTTCTCCAAGCGTGGGAGTGTGATGCTAGGAGGGAAGAAAGCTGTGAATGGACATTTACGACCCAATGGTGGCAGAAGGTTAGATGCGACCAAAGACCTCAAGCGCAACTCTACTAAGTACAGACACAGACAACCCAGTATCTCAATGTTGGCTACGCCGACAATCAAAATCTTGCCAGAAGATGTAGAAAAGGAGTCGCAGAAGGTCCGATCCATGTATGAGAAGCCAACGAATTTCGACTGGAACCAGGGGGCAAGTTCACCAAACTCACCAGTTTCTGGCAAACAACCGACTGGCCACCAAGAAAATCTCAAGAAAGGCTCGCCTGCAGGGTATATTTCTATTGACAAACATCCAAAAAGGGACTTGCTAAATCAGAATAGATCAAGTCGCCTTTTGGCTTCTCCAGATATCAAGGCTCTTTACCAACAAGATGCCAATAGCAACCATTCTTTCCAAAGCGAGGCGGATCGTGAGAAACGGGAACAGGAACGCGAATATGAGCGCGCGGGAGGAATCGAGAACTGGGAGGACGTCGACGAAGGGGATGTGGATAGATATGGATTCATAAACTTGCGTAGACGACCGGGCACACCCGAACCTAGACCAGTTCAGAGAGTCTCCACGCTCTTGATGCTTGCATCGGAAACACCACGACAAAAGCGATTTGGAAGATCCCCATCTGCTGCTACTTCTGCACGATCGCGATTTGGCCGGGCTCCAAGTAGACGAGTGTCCGGTCGATCTGTTAAAACACAAGGTTCGGTAGGTTCCAACAAGAGTACTGGTCGTGCTCAACTTAGAGCTGCTGCAAATCGATTACCTGGTAATCGAGATAGACGATGGATGGATGAGGCTGGAGATATGCTTACTCTACCTCCTGGACTTGCCGATATCGCTGAAGACGAGGAAGGTGGAAAGGCCGTGGCAATGCTCAAAAAGAAGGAAATGCGACGAGCGGAAAAATGGAGAAAGATGGCCAAGATTATCAAGCGTGGTAAAGATGGTCATGGAATGGAATTCGAATTCAACACTTCAAGCCCCAAACTCATCGAGAGAACTTGGAAAGGTATCCCTGATGTTTGGCGAGGACCAGCTTGGCTTTCTTTTTTGACTACTTCTGCGAAGAAGCGATCGGATTATGTGCCTGATGAAGATATCAAGATGGCTTTTCACAGATTACAACAAGATAGTTCGGTGGATGATGTACAAATTGACATTGATGTTCCTCGAACCATCAATAGTCACATCATGTTCAGAAGACGATATCGTGGCGGTCAACGTCTACTCTTTCGAGTCCTCCACGCTGTGTCCTTGTACTTCCCGGAGACTGGATATGTTCAAGGCATGGCTTCATTAGCTGCGACCTTGCTTTGTTACTACGATGAGGACACGGCTTTTGTGATGATGGTGAGAATGTGGAAGTTGCGAGGATTGGCGAAATTATATGAACCCGGATTTCCGGGCTTGATGGCTGCTCTAGATGAGTTCAAATCTGATTGGCTCAAAGGACGTGAGGTCTCTGAGAAAATGGTATGTTTTCTTTGCCTTGTGACCTTCAAATATATATAAACTAACACTTATCAACAGGATGATCTCACAATTGAAGCAACTGCCTACGGCACCCGCTGGTACCTGACCCTCTTCAACTACTCCATCCCCTTCCCTGCTCAACTCCGAGTCTGGGATATCTTCATGCTCCTTGGCGACTCTGATCCATCCATTGCACCAACCAAGGAACGACCCTTCGCAGGTGGTCTCGATATCATCCACGCCACCAGCGCAGCTCTTATCGATGGAACGCGTGAAATCCTCCTAGATTCCGATTTTGAGAATGGGATGAAGGTTCTTACTAGTTGGATACCCGTCAAAGACGAGGAGCTTTTGATGCGAGTCACAAAGGCGGAATGGAAGTTGCATCGTGGAGGCAAGAGAAGAAGTTGAAGACTGAAGCAACATTTCCGAGGGAGTGATGTTGATAATTACAACAGAGACGACGATGATGGACGAACGATTCCAAAGATACCCCCTTACAACCAACCAAAATACGTAATTTCTAATACAATACCCTACGACTCGGCCCCCTTTTTTTCTTTACCTTTTTTTTTGCTGCTCTCGATCGATACCCCCTCATACCAAATTAATACCGCCAATTTACACCCGGCGCGGACTAATACAGTACACCAAAAAACACTCACTGGCTTTACGACCAAAGTTTTTTTTTCCTTTTCCTTCCTGCCTTTTCGCCTTTTTTTGACAATGCTTCTTGCTTTCTTTTTCTTTCTTTGAGCTTGCTCTTTTTCTCTGGTGGAATTGGAATTGTATTTTTTGTTGCGTGGAAAATCTTTGCAGTGGGGATGGTGTGGTGTGATTAATGGACGGGCTTCTTTCTTCTCTTTCTTTTGCTTTCTCTTGCTTCTACTTACTTGGTTCTGTTGCTTTCTACCTTGTTCTGTTGAGACGCAGGTTCTTCATACCCACTTTTGTTTTTCTTTCTTTCTTTGGAGCGAGGAGCGGGTCGTTGATTGCGTTATACCACTGTCGCTTGCTTTTTGCTTTGCTTTCTCTGATTCTGATGGGTCTGGACTTTGAGTATAGGGATTCAAGCAGGGGAGGGTGTAGGAAAGGGGGTTGAAAAGTTGAAGGGAAGTGGAAGGAAGGGGATTTGTGTGCGTGCGTTGTACATAGCTTCTTTTTCTTTTCTTCTTGAGCGGGATTGGTGGAGTGGTGTGGATGAGATGAGGTGAGAGTGGATCATAGCGGATGGATGGTGGGTGAAGGAGGAAAGAGGGACATTCTTGTGTGCTTGCTTGATTGAGTTGATTTGGTGCGGTTTGGTTTGGTGATATACCCCTGTTGCTGTTTGTTTGGTTGTTTCTTGTTTGTTTGTGTCGTTTTCTGGGGCGGAAGAAAGGATTGTGGATTGATGGGTGTCATAGGGTGTGATAGGTTCTTTCTTCTTCTTCTTCTTCCTTCTTCTTCTTCTTTTATCTATCTAGATAGATAGATTGAAAGAAAAGATTGGTGGTTGGTTGAGTAGATAGGTAGATGAGCTCATGAGTTGAGTGGAGTGGAGTGCATAATAGACCAGCTTTTACTTATGAGTACGAGTAAGGAATCTTTTTATGGGTGTGTTGGAGATGTGAGGTGTGAAGTTAAAGTTTGGGATTCAAGGTGAATTTAAGAGTAGAGTAAGCTATCTGGGAGGTAAGGTAAGGAAGGGTAAGGTAAGGAAGGGTAAGGAAGGGTAAGGAAGGGTAAGGAAGGGTAAGGGTAAGGATAAGGGTACTTTATTGAATATTGGAGCGGTACTAGGTATGTAGGATGTTAGATATTTGGTTAAGTTGATGGATTAAGTAAGGAAGTAAGGAAGTAAGGAAGTGAGGAATGTAGGTAAGTAAGCCTTTGTTGATTGGGGGTTCCTTGTACCTAGGCAGTATGAAGAAAAAAGAAAGGGAAGGGAAGGGGAAAGGAAGGAAGGAAACGAGTTGTTTTTTACGGTGTTTGGTGGTGTTTGGTAGGTAGTTACCGTAAGAGAGGCCGCCTGGGTGTTGGTCTGTATACGCTGTTAAAAGTTCTTTATTTTATTTATTTATTTATTGCTATTTAACGTCAAGCGGAGTCTAGCTCGCGTGGGCTAGGTCCTAGAAGAGTCCCAATATGGGCAAATGACGCTAGGGGGGTGCCCTAGGCTACATGGGGTGTAAAAGAAGAGACGCTAATTTACAAGAGACAGTTTAAAGAGAAGCCCCACTTTCGGGACAGCCCTTATCCTTAATTAGTTTTGAGAACCAGGGTACAACAAATGAAATACATAAATCAAAGAAAGAAAGAAAAGTAGGCCAGCCTATCTAGGTAGACAAATCTTAGTGAAGAATCTAGTCTTAAAGTAGACCTTATTAAATAGCTCCTCGCAGCCGGGGCCGAAGAGCAGCTGAGGGTTCCTCTGAGCTTCTGCTAGTAGCCTAGGGGCTACGTTGTTTGCTAGCCTACAAAAGAGTAGGTGGAATTGAGACTTAGCCTTCTTACACTTACAATCCCCTGAGGTAAGTAATGCGTCGAAGTGAAAGAAGCGAAGGTGGTAAGCGACAAAGTCTCCATGCCCAGAACGAGCAGCTATTAAGCGAGCTAGAACCTCTCTTGGTAATTGAAGAGACCGTGGCTTCAAAGACCAATTTTCAAGCCCCAGATCCTTATAGACAGCCGGGAGTGTAGCGCTCCAGAGCTTTCTTGCAAGTCCAATCCCTGTTTCTTTAACCCCCCTCTTGAGCGTAGCAGTACAAAGTGGAGAGAGGGAATTAGAAGGGGGTATCCGCGCTGCTTTCCCAGCAGCTCTGTCCGCGATTTCATTGCCTAGGATACCTATGTGACTAGGGCACCACCTAGTCTGTATTTTCCCAGGGTATGATGACGCTAACTCATGGACTGTATTAAAGATCCCTTGCGATGTGCCACAAGACCGGTATGTTAGTTGAAGCGCAGCCTCAAGGTTGTCGAGGCAAATCCAGCACTTCCTAGCCGAAAAAAGTTCTTGAAAGTCTTTATATTAAAAATGTAGTATGGTACGGTACGAGTAAATTAATTCATTAATTATTCCATTTTTTTTTTTTCTTTTTTCTTTTACTCGGGTTGATAGGGGGATAGTGTAAGGGGTAAAAAGTAACAACGGTTTTAGTTGCGTAAGGTCAGACCTGGGTACGATATAAACGTTTCCATATCGGAGGTCCTACGATATCGGTTTTTTGACGATATCCGATATAATATCGATTATCGTATACGTAACGTGGAAAAACTGTAAATCCGGGCCCGGATTAATCAGGATACTCTATTCACCTTAGCTCCCTGGGCTCCTTAGGCTTCAACAAATAATACTACTACTAACACCACTACTATTATTACCACAATTATCATAACCCGCTTTTTATTTAACCAAAATGCTACCATTTGATTCCGTACCTGGTACGTGATAATAAGATTAAGGTAGAAATTAATAAGGAAGGTGTATTATTAAGCGAGAGTAATAAATCGATTATTATTATCTTTTTGTTCTTATAATAAACATATTCTCACTTCAAATTAACCCTGAAAACCCCCTAAACACTCCTCAAAACACCCCAAAATATGCTAATTTTAGGTACAAAATATCGATATCGTCACTTTTTCGACGATCGATATCGGAATCGTCGAATATAATATCGAGATTATATCGCGATAAATATCGTCATCGTGCCCAGGTCTGACTGTAAGGTGATTGATTTAGTTGTGTAAGGTCTTTAGAATAGGAATTTTGTAACTTAGATGTGTGTAGAGTCATGCTCGCTTCTCTTGGTTACTGTACTGTGAGCTTGAGCGAGATTTTGGCTGTGATTGTATGATGTGATGATGGGGGATGGGAGGATACGGCTTTTCTTTGATTCACGGAGAGTGATAGAGAAGCGGTTTGTGATTCACAAACCTGTTGTATGAGTTTGTGAATCTGTGGATTGTACGAGTTACTTGAGCGAGCTCTTTTTGGATTTCCTTCGTGGACGGATTTATTTGGTAACTCAACGAATGCTCGAATACAACGTGCACTCAGAGACATACATACACACTTCCACTTACTCATACCACCACCAGCTCAAATCCACGACACACTCACTCATAGAGTCCTCATCTACAACGTTAACCTTGACGGATATCGATAAGGCGCAAACCCTTCTTACCACCCAGCATTTTGGATCTCGAGACGATATTGTGGTTCCTATTTATTTCTACCAACCAACCAACCGTTACAACCGCTTTTCTATACACCCAAACACCCAAACATCGACCTTACCACCACCATCCTCCCCACCATCCTCCTCACCCACCCCCAGCCCAAATGGATACCAACCCACCACCTCACCCCCCCTTAAACCACGACCCCCAAAAAATCCTAAAAGAAAAAAGAACAGCATTGAGAGAGATGCTTAAAAAGCTTAATGCTCATCGTGCGAAGGCTAAGGCTAGGGCTGGGGCTGGGTTATGTATAGATCTAGAGGCGCAGAGACAGAGAGAGAGACAGTGGGATGGGAGTGTGGTGGGTAGTGGTGGAAGGGAAAGTGTGGTGAGTAGTGGTGGTAGGGAAAGTGTGGTGAGTTGGGGAAAGGAGAAGGTGGGTGGAAGAGAGAGAAAGAGGGATCATAGGTGTTTTAGGAAGGTTGTTCTTAGGAGGTGTGCGGTTTTGGGTTTTTGGAGGGGTAGGGGTTGGGGGAAGGGTGGTTGATTTTGGGAGAGGGGAGAGGGGAGNTAGGTGTTTTAGGAAGGTTGTTCTTAGGAGGTGTGCGGTTTTGGGTTTTTGGAGGGGTAGGGGTTGGGGGAAGGGTGGTTGATTTTGGGAGAGGGGAGAGGGGAGAGGGGAGAGAGGGAGTGGGGGAAGGGAGGTTAGATGTATATTTTTGGAGTTAGTGTAGATACGGGTGCTGTGGTTAGAGGGTAGATGTATATATAGAGGAGAGTTTGTAATAGTAGTTTGAGAATAGATAGAGGAATTTGAATGCTGGACTGGGAGGGCTGGATAGTGATGTGAAGTAGAGATATATTGCATGAAGGTTCTCTCTACTATGTATAATGTTATAATGCTTGGAAAAGGAGATGTGAGTACTGTTTTGTGACTGTAAACTACAGCCAGGGAACCATTGGCTGTACTGATGAGCTTGAAAGAGTGATTTCTAGTGAACGAATTCTTGAGGTTATTCATATATTAGGTACACAAATATTCTACTAAACTAGGATAATTGAATTACTGGCTCCAGAACTTCTCACATAAGGCCGTCTAAAAGTGTGCAGTACACGACGCAACGAAAACTCCACCTCCCCCAAATTAAGCATTACCACCCCCCTCAACCGCCGCCCCCACAACCACAACTCTCCTCAACTCCTCCCTCATAACCCTCGGTGTAACACCAACCGCCCTCCCATCCATCCCAGCCCTAATCAAAAACTCATCACTCCCCACAAGCCCCCACCCCCTCCCATCCACCTGCGCCCAACTAAAACACTCCACACCAAGCAGACCCCCCACCGCCTCCACCATCGGATCCGTAAACACAGCTCTGAATCCCAGAAGCGTCGTCTCATCACCCATCTCCCTCTTCAGACCCGTAAGATAAAGCCTGACTTGCGGGCCGAAGATAGTGATTTTCTTTGGCAAGGCGAGGATGTTGGTGTTGTTATGTATCCAAGTGTCGACGCCGAGACCCGGGAGGAGCGGATCGGTGGTGCGGATCGGTGGTGAGGATCAGAGTGCTGTTGGCTGCGGAATATGAGCCTGCGAGGTTTTCTTGCGCCTCGTTTCGTGCGGCGGTTTCGACCGCGGGGAGGAAGTGCGCGGCGATGAGACCGGATAGGACTGCGATGTCGGGCGTCCCTGCGGGACCAGCTGCCATGAGTGTGATGCCCAAATCCCAATCCGGGATGAGGAGTAAGAGCGATGAGTATCCTGGGAGATCACCGGATTTGGTGTAGATATCCACAACCCTCTTCGAAGGACCGATTTCTAGACGGCGGATCTCCCACGGCGCACCGAGGTGAGATGTCGGGTCTGATGTGAAGGCTCTTGGCTTCATTCAATGGCGAGTTAAGGAAGGGGAAATGAGTTGGTTCCGTGGAATCGAGCGGCCGAGTGAGGAGAGATTCCTGGCTGTCATGTATGCGCCACCCGCTGCGGTTTCGTCGCCGAAGGGTAAGTCGTAGGTTCCTGGGTCGATGATGCTGCTGCTGTTGTCTTTTGGAAGGGACCATGAGGAGCCGGTGAGGTTCAGTGGTGAGAAGATGGCGCTTTCGACGAGCGTTTGGATGGGGATGCCGGTTATGTTTTCGAGTGCGTAGGCGAAGATCATGTATTCTACGTTGGAGTATGATGCTGCTGTTGAGGGTGCGTAGATAGGGTGTCGGTTAACGAAGCCTTCGAAGAATTGAGCGCGAGTGCCTAGATATTAAGATTAGTTTGATTCAAAATCATCAGTATTAATAGAGGAAATATGGGTGTTAAGAATGGACTAAAGGGCTTCTCAAGGTAAAAAAGACAGACCGAGGAAGCATAGCCCTCAAAAATTCAACTTACAAGCACCACCACCCCCACAAATCGGAACCTCCCCCTTCCCCAGCGCAGGAAGATTCATAGCCGCAGCCTTTATCTTCCCATCCGTCACCAAAGCACCCGCCAAATCCCCATAAGCCGAGTACTCCCTCCCAATATTCGCCGTCTGCGCCGCAAGATCACCAATCGTGATATACTCCCAAGAAACATAATCAATAGGATTGCGCGTCGCGTTCTTGGCCGCAGCAGCAGCTTTGATTTCGGGGATATACTTAGTGATAGGCTCGTTGAATAATGACATTCCTCCAGCCTTGATCAACCAGGTGTAGACGGTGAGGAGTTTCGTCACACTGCCGACCCGGAAGACGGTATCTGCATTGACGACTTTGACACCTTGTTTTGATTGGTTGAGAGAGGGTGCGGAATAGTATCTTGAGAAGAGAGGGTTGAAGTCGCCTGCGGTCCAGATTTCGAGGGCGAAGGAGGTGTTGGTTGATTCAAAGGGGCCGGCGGATGAGTTGCCGGTTTTGATTGTTTGGTCGAGAATTTTGTTGAGTGTAGAACTGGCTTTTGCGATTGTAGGGTTGGAATTGAGGTGTTTTGGCGATGGATAGCTGGGCCCTAGAAGAGGACAATGTTTCTCGGCTTGGATGAGGAGAGGTAGGAGAGATGCGAAGAGGGAAAGGAGGATATGTTTGGAAACCATTATTACACCAAGACCACGCAACGAGTATATGTATCGTTGTTTGGTAGACTAATTTAAGGAAGGAAGAAAGGGAAGAAAGAAGGAGAAATAAGAATGCAATGAAAGTATATAGAACGAAGAGATCAAGTCAAGAAAAGATGAGGGGAGCCGATTTACTTATTCTCCTCCAAAATTGTGCCAACATACTACACGGATTCTCGCTAAACATACATGAGTTAGGCAGTGATCTCGTCTTAGCACTTGCGACTGGCACAACCGTATCAAAATCCACTAAACAAGCCTTCCTTCATCTTCGTCCTGAGCCACCGCTCCTGGATCGTGATCGCCACGAGATTGACACGACGCAAATAAAACTTTGGAAGAACGATCAGTCAGATCCAATCCCATAGAAGCTAGATAAATCCCAAACATAGAAATTAAAGTTTGATAATGCAGGGACATATCGCTAAGCGACCTCTACAGGATCAAGTTCTTGGTATTTTAAATAAGAGCCAACAAATCAGATTCTTAGAATCCGCTTATGTCAGTCATGTTCCACCATCCATCCCGTCAGTGTGGCTTTCCGTCCCCGAATATCTCAGTAGCCTTGAAACGTCCACCAAATCTCAGAGATAAGCCTTCCTTTTCCAGGCTTCTAGAAAAAACAAATCTGGTCAGCGAATGAGGCTCACTAGACCCCCGTTCATGGATGACATATACAAAAGAAGCATTTTAACTCGTCATCGTATGGCAAATCCTTGAAAATGTAAAGTTGTTGCACCATTTCTCATTGGCCACTTGACAACAGGAAGGCATCGAATGACTGGGCTTGCTGCTTGCAGAATTCCCATGTCCTCGAAGAGAAAAGAACCATCCCCCACGTGTGAAGGCCCTGAAGAAGTTGGTCTAGAAAAGTCGAACGAGTGCCTCTCATCCCAGGCCAACTCGTACTTCCGTGAAGGGGATACCAGACTTTCCAACTCTGGACTGAACCGCATCTGATGATAAACAACCTTTCAATTATTAGGAAAAACGTGTTTCCCATTCATTTCATAGCCGCCCCAACGCCCAAAAAATACAAGGTTTTACACGAGGCCAACCGACCTACGAATGCCCATCCTGTGGTAACTGAGCAATTACGTCCTCACATATTACAATCAGTTCATCCACATCCGGCCGTTCTGCCGGTTCGATCTTCAAACATTTTCTCACCACTTCCCTAATCCCTTCACTGATTTCACTGTCATCAGTCTGACCTGGCTGGTTTGTTGCCTTTTTCTTGCCTCCTGCTCCTTCGTCTGGAAATCTCCAATCTCCGCCAAGAACGCAAAGGCTCAAGCTTCCACCTGTTTCGTCGCTTCGCATTTCGAACGGAGATTTTCCAACCAGACAGGCATAGAGTGTACAGCCCAATGACCAAATATCCACCTTGGTATCAATTACGCTTCCAGTCTTTACGTCGAATAGCTCGGGAGCACGATACGGCATTGTGGAATGTTCAGCTGCTTGATCTTGCACTGCCAGTGCTTGGGATCTAGAGGTAATCGGAGTAGGAGCTGGAGCTAAAGAGCCCAAATCCATGAGAATCGGCTGTTCGCCATCATCGTCAATCATAATATTTCCTGCAATTGTTAGCTTTGGTTGATGCTTGATAAGTCTAGGCCTTGATCTCACCTGGCTTAATGTCGCGATGCGCATAAGACCGTATCCCACCCGGCGCAATACCCTCCTGCGCCGTTGAAACCTCGGATTCCATTAAAGGTTCCTGCTGCTCACTATCATCATCCACTTCTCTGCCGGCTTGTCTGCCCCTTCTCGCCTCTGCCTCGTCTGCCAATTCTTGATCTGCAACCGCAGCTGCCCCTCTCACTCGCTTTGCCTTTTTCTGGCTATTGACACCTCCAGGTGGACCACCGACTTTGTAATTATGCATTGCTTTCAAAGCTTTGCAAACACCCAAAAACAGCACCATTAACCTCCTTTCCTGAAATCTCGTGTGGTTCACCAGGTTTGCATTTATGATATCCTGTAGATTGCCTCGTCTGTAGTATGGAAGTAGAATGTACACGGTTTTTGCTGTCGGATCCGATCGATCGGCCGACACGGAATAATCAATACTACGAATGATATTCGGATGCGGCGAGAAAAGCGCATATGCCTCCACCTCCTTCATCGCCAGCGCAACAGATTCTTGGCCGAATGGACATCGTATCTTCTTGAGGGCGTATAGAGCTTCGTTGCTGGTATCCTGGACCAGATATACGTATGAGAATCCACCCTGGGGAATTGTCAGCAAATGCGCCCATCGCTCAATGGATGAATGCTTTGTGTACGTACCTCTCCTAACAATCGCAGTATCTTGAAGCTCCGATTGTTGATCTTTAGATTTGGCGAGCCTGGAAAACAACTCATGCAATTGGTGAGGGTGTAGATGATGTCGAGGAAGTATTGTGCCATTGCGACGGTATTTCTGGAGATGTGTCGTTATTCAGCAGCTGTAGAGTTATGCAGAGGTGCAATTCGGTATTGTTGGAGCTTCGTCTGATACGTGATACGTGTCACGATCAAAAATTAAACGATTGAAACGAGGTGAATAATCTCAACGCTGGTATGCCAATTTGTTTTTCGTCAATCGTGGTATCGTCTTGCCTGTTTCTGTTGATCTGTTTCCAAGCTGTCACTAGTACGAGTCCAGGAAGATCACAAGCCGCAGCCGAGTGAGAGTGTGGCGGAGGTTCCGGGATCCACACCAGCCACAAGTGACAATGGATGTAAATACGTCAAGCTCCACGTCGGAAAGTGTAACAGGAACCAAGAAAAATCGAGATAAATCTTGCTGTAGAAAACAAAACAGGCTCTATTTTCTACTCTGATAAGTAGACATACATTTAATGTTGTAACTTCTTTCTATTGTAATTGGGCTTCGATACCGTGGGACAGGGGTCGTCGCTATTTATATCTCTTAGCTATCTTTGATAGAAAACTTGCGGCATTCCCATTTTCATCCTTCTAAATTTTATTTGTTTGGAGGTAGACATTGCAATATTGTTTCCTAGTAAAGTTGCCAGACACTTATCCTATTGTTGCTGTTAGTGCAAAGTGAAAAGTCCCTAGCGATACCCTACTTATTAAATTTCTATACCAAGAATATTGAATGGCAAAAAATGCTGGTTTGAACGGAAGCGTAATTTTATCATTTTAGAATAATTCAGACTCCTTACTAGGGCTAGAACAGTTTTAACAAAATATAAACAAAACGCCTTCCCGGCGAGTTGGAAGCTGGACTGGTTGCTAAAAGCAGAGAGAAATTAATCCAATTACGTATCAAGATTACGACAAATATTCAAAGAAGCCACGCAAGATCATAGAGAAAATAGAGCCAGAACAACCAGGTAAAGTGAATCTAAAGCCTCTCAGGACTCCTCGCTTAAACCTCGCCCTACATATCCTCCAAAACATGCAAAACACATTTCAAAAAATGCAAAAAATGAGGTGTAGGGAAAGACCTGGATTAGCCAGGTTCTGCGATAACTTAAAGTCCCCAGTAGCGTTTACTTGGACTTCTATATTAGAACAACGACAAAGTCGATGGACGGAAAGAAGACCGATAGCCGTCTTCGTACAGGAATAGAACCCCTGCATATTGGACGAAATTTACCGCTGGGCCAGGCGTACTTTTCCCTGAGATCACCGGGTGCTATAGTTGCTTATATATGTCATATGATATTTGGGTGGTGAATATGTGGTACTATAGTTAGTTGTGAATTATGCTTGAATTTCTGGGTTTCTGTTGTCTGTGCTTTTTGGTGGTATTTACAAAGTGATCTTTCTCTGCTACTGTATGATGGAATCATGTAGTCTCTGAAACAGTCAAGGAGTAACTCGGGAGTGTTTACCGGAACATGGTAGAGCGTCATGAGTGAAGTGGATTACTAATATCTTGGGTAATCAATTTCCAGCTATGAATAGCATTCGCTAATTGCAACATATTACTTGAGAATCTATTGAACATTATTGCTATTTCAAAATTATTGTAAGAGGTATCGGTTATATACAGAGTGTATATAAGACAGTGGAAGTAGGATGGTCAGATGACTGTTAGGTACATCGGGAATCAAAAGAGTAAGAATTTGACTTGTGAAAATGACTTGATTTTTCTAACTATAAGGACAGTAAAGGTCTATATATACTCCTTAGATAGATTCTAGGAGGTTCTATAGATTATAAATAGAATAGAAGTGCTTATAAATAGAAAGGGATACTAGAATGTTTCGGTTCACGTGATCGAACGTTCTAGAATAAGCGAGAACAGACTAAGGNTGACTGTTAGGTACATCGGGAATCAAAAGAGTAAGAATTTGACTTGTGAAAATGACTTGATTTTTCTAACTATAAGGACAGTAAAGGTCTATATATACTCCTTAGATAGATTCTAGGAGGTTCTATAGATTATAAATAGAATAGAAGTGCTTATAAATAGAAAGGGATACTAGAATGTTTCGGTTCACGTGATCGAACGTTCTAGAATAAGCGAGAACAGACTAAGGTTTAAACCTAAAGTCTATTAGTGAGTAAGGTAATTATTACCTAAATGAAACAATTATTAACAAACTAACTTGGATAGATATCTCTCGGAGATAGCTCATTTGAGTATCTCTTAAAAACATGGCTGGTTAATACGATTAGTCTATCTTAATAAGTAAAAAAATTAAAACAGATACTTATTATACCTCATTAGATACTATAATACTTGAAATAATGTGGAGTAACCATAATTTCTGTTTCATGTTATCATATGAGTTGTAACTTGTGAAAATGGTAATAGAATGCTAAAGGTTACAAGGAGGTATGAAACTGGAATCACGAGAAGCTTCTTCGTAAATCTGGCTCCAGACAGCGATGTTCATCCTATTGTCGATACTTTGTATATTCCGGTCTTCAAAGAGTCGTGACTAACTATTGAGAATAGAATGGCACTGCTATACCAGTACAGTTCTCTTATCAATTAGTCATATATACGAAGCCACAGGAAAGTCATCGAATTGAGCAAAACTCAGCTCCCATAGCATTAGAAACACCTGGTGTGAACCTCAAATAATGTCATTCTGAACCGTTACCTAGAACTTTTCGTTCTAACCAAGAGCGGTCTTAGGACGTTCTACTTCTCGATTGTAGAGCCCGGCTTTCCACCCTGGAATTTGTTACATAACCTGTAATATAGCGATTCTGGTCCGCTCGACTAATAAGAACCTTGAGACAGTAGTAATACTTAATATCGCCAGGAATCCTAGGCTGAGAATCTGGTAGTAGACTAATGTAGGCTAGCACGTATTTAGCGTGTTACGCTCGCAAGAGTATATGACTAACCAGTATAGTAAATGATTGACCGATTAAATATCTACTTGTGTGCTCCTATTTTACTCTAATCTAAGCTCTCTCGTTATTTGAAAGCAATATATATAGATAGATATCCTCTGTAATTCAGAATTCTAAAGCCTTATCATCTAGGATATTCCATTCTAAATTAAAGGGCCCTTGGGATATTCTACTTTGGAATGGAATTGTTAGATCCTTGGAATTATATCCCAGATGCCGACAGTTGATCACAACCAATCAAAGACATCATACCAACTTTTGAAAACAGGGCATGTCCCTATATACTACGTATGGCCTTTAAACCTCGAAGGTAAATTTTCCACAGTCCAAGAAGAACTCGCCTCAAGTACCTGATTTGGAACAGTCACGGATCTTCTTACGTATCAACCACTCGAAAATAGCCAGAGAGATGCGGGCCATGATTGTAATTTTTTAAAGGTGATGTAAATCGGGTTACCCGAGATACTCCCGCAAAGGTCCTTTGCTAGAGATAGTAATGTTTGAAATAGTCGAGCCATAGTCAAATAACAGAAGTTGTCCGCGAGGTGTTCAAGAGCCTTTTATTCTACGAATACAATAGTATTTTATACCACTTAGAGATCTTGAGCACCACGTGAAATAATGATTACGAATCTGCGAAAACACTCGAAGCATAACGAACTCAGTCTTTTGCTTTCTCTCAGACAATTGGTATAGGTCAGTTCGCGAATTCTTCTTTCACACAAAAAACAACGGCAGGTTTTCTTACTCTGATGGGTTGCGCTTATCAGAGTTAGTTTTAGCAAACAAGTCAATTACTGAAGTAAGGAATGCAAGGCGGTTCTCATCATACTTTTTAACTTCCTCATGTATAATCACAAGCTAAGTAGTGGTTTCGGATAAGACACTGTAAGCAGAAGTGTTGACATGAACCTAAACTAGATGAGCTGCCGATCCTTCATTATTAAGCTGGGAAATATGAATGTTTCCAAAATCCCAAAGAATGAGACATGTTGGAAGCTGTCAGTTCTGAGTAGGATGCTTCGTCTTTTGAGATACCGTAGTAAATCGAACTTGATGATTACGCTAAGTGGGCGGGTGGAGTACGGAACAGTGTAAACTAGAGGCTCCTACTCGCTAGACCCTCTTCTTATGCGTAGAAGATTGCGATGAGCGGGTTGTCGACTTTTCTACCTAGTGAAATGTAGAAAATTGTTCTCTAAATGGCTCTAAAGTAGCCTTGCCAGCTTCTCCGTACCCTAACCGCCTACATAGCATTTTTTATAACTTCGATTCACCACGGTAGATCTATGAGCTGGTTTTCATAGGAGGATGGTGGTTAAGTGGGTACCGGTACTTGAAACCATACAGACAACCTTCCGTATATGGACTCAGGGATGTCGATCTTCTTCCTCTCAAGTACTATCAGTGCTGGACCGAATAATAGGACTCGTATAGGAATTTCCCACTCGTATTCTTCCAGATGCTTATTCGCTGAAAATTTCCTTGAATGTGGAACCAGATGACATGACTTTGAAGATGATTGAGTGGTTTTGCACCTTGTAATAGTATGGTTCGTTACAGTCTATTCTTCTTCCTGAAGATAGTCAATTGTGGTATCTTAAATCTGAAGATTAGACAGAATGATTAACACCTGTGAATATCGTAGTACATTGGCATTTAGACGTAGCAGAAGGGGAAACTGGAAGATACCAATTGCGTGTACAGTAAATCAGATCTTGTGCTACAAGAACGTCTCATCACGCCTTAAAATTCGGTTTTCGGTGGATTTCGAAGGGATTTTCCAACTATACTCGAGTACTGTATTATCCAAGGCAGCCTTGAAGCATTCAAAGAAGGCAGCTAGGTCGCTACCTTCAACCCTTTTTTCTAGATTTGAGCTACCAATCTATGAAAAGGTTGTTGATGAAACTTTTATTGGCACTGTGACTCCCTCTAACAGAAGTAAGCTGGGATTTGATGGGTAGTAGTTGTTACTATACTCGGAACACCTGCTCTGTTCGTCTTTGGTAGTAGCAGTGAAGACCTGTCCTCTTATTCGCTTTTCCTTTTCCAGATGGACTACCATGCCATGGTATTGCACGATTTCCAAGAGATCGTCGCTCCGGAGACCATATTTTTGACAAATACGAAAGGATCCGTTGTAAAATGATGTGTCCGTCTTCAAATTATTCCGATGACTAGAATTGACTCTGAATACAGACTAGAGGGTCAGTTGACTATGGCATGGTAGGGAGTAACGACGACGCTTCTTTTTGTCGATGAAATTAGGGAAGAATCCCACTTTCAGTTGTTTTTCGACGGATGATGTCGTTCAAACTGGACACCCTCTACCCAACGAACCCATAATCTGCGGGTTCTCATTTTTGGGTCTTCTACTTCGTAATGCCCATGGTTTTGGTGGGAGCCGCAAATGCATCTTTTGCCGACAACGTGGATCTCCCCGCACACGGTCAAGAACACCACTGCTGGCGCAGCATCGACGGAATCAGAAACCTGATGCGTGACCACTGGACACCGGTCTTAAACATGATATACATCCCTGGACTTTGGAGTCATATTATGGCTGCATTTGTGCCTATGACAGCGGACAACAGCTAGATACGTATGGTGGTATCTGACTTTCCTGGTATCCTGCACCGTGAACTCCGGTACTATTATGCAGGGACAACGGCTGAATGGCTCCGCGACCAGATGCACAATTTCTAGGTGGTGTGGTTTATGCTTCATCCCTGACCTAATAAATCTCCAATATGGCCACCATGGCGTGGTTGGAAAACCTGATGTACAGTACATGTACCGACGATATCAACGTTCACCGGGGCTTTTACGGTACTGTAGGTAAAAACGGGGCGATTCCGTGCCAATGCTTTAACCTGTGAATAAATTTGGAAATACATAAAAAGAATTTTGAAAGCTTTCCCATACTGATTGGTATAACAAGCTATCTATTCCTTTCGCTTCTGGTATCGTTTGTTTTGGAAGCTTATTTTGGAGTAAAGTAAGAAACCGTCCACTCTTAAAGTTAACGTAGAATGCGGGGTCGTTTTCCACCCTCGTATTCCAGACTGGAGCTTGATATGCAACTATCCATTACTTAATTTATGATACTTTCAAGTAAAACCTGCAGTCAAGCTTTCGGCAATCGTCTAGGCGAGCCTGGAAGCTTTGAAACGACCACACGTCAACATCTTGGCGGTGAAACTCCGCATGCCGTTGTAAATACCGCAGACGCATTGATTGCAATCTGGCGCAAGAGCGGCGGATTAACTGGAATTGGAAGCTTCGAATGATAGCAGGCCACAATTGGTCCACTTCCGCTTCCAAGGTGGCTACATATTCATTACTCAGATCTTTCAAAGCTGCATTATTCTCTACGAGTAAAAGTTGGCTGATGGGGTAAGAAATATTCCTGCATACTGTCGCTCAGGTGGGTGATTGGAATATATAAGAGCACTCAGCCTCCGTGGTATTGTTCATCCACCACCTCACTTCAGCTCAATTCATTCACCCCCAACCCAAACATCAAACTTTCCATCTATCAAAATGAAGTTCACCATCATTGCCACCCTTTGCATTGCCGCTGTCTCTGCAGTCAGCATCCCAGCCGCGATTGAGAAGCGCTGCTTTGCCGACGGCCGTAAGTTACATCAGGTCGCGTCCCCCTGAGCATGTGCTGATTTGAGAATTATAGAAAAGTGCCTTGCCTCAAACGACTGCTGCAGCAACTACTGCGGATTCCCCAACGGAAGCCAAGCCAATGGATTGAGATGCACCTACAAATAAGTTGGCTATACTAGCTGTTGAGTGGGCTTGGAACGAGCTATGGAGGGGAAATGGATTATGAATGGCCATTTATTGCACATACTACATTGAGCAAGGGTTGGGAAATTTCCTGCCTTTGCTTAAAATTTCGAACTCAATCCTCCACGAACTACTGTATTACCCTTGATTACTCGGTGAGAACCTTGAGATGTGTGTCATCGCAAGTAGACATTCAAAGATTGGGATGAGACTTCTGCGTTTATTGATTGATTGAATACCATTAAAATAAAAGCAAGATAACTTTATAGCCACATGAACAACGTTCGGCAACTGGAATTCCATTCGATTTTAGAGCCTTCCTCTGGAAGTATTCTATTCCATTTCAGGATTTGCTACAATCATTCCATTCCTAGAGGCACATATTCCATAGAATCAATATAATTTCCATTTAGGACGTCACATGATCCGGAAAAAGGCCGGTAGGTCAGTCTTAGACTATCGCAATAGCACCTTTATATATAGGCAGTAGGGACAAACTCCCTAGGAGTACTAATAATATATGTAGGTACACAGAGGTAGAGAGTCCTAGACATATCACGTGAAGGACCCCATCCACTCTTCCAGGTTCCTAAATACCGTTATTCACTTATCTATATTAATATTCACTAGAAGTGGAAATCTATAGAAGTCCTAGAATTCCAGAAACTAATCGATGGAATGGAATAGTTCTATTATAAAGGTGCCCTAGAAGGATTCCAGGTGGAATAGAATGGAATAATTCCATGGAATATAGTTGCATGCGGAACGTTGGACATGAACAGGTATTAGCATACTTGTTAAGTTGTTCGAAACCTTACTAACGCTCTGTACACACCAAAAATATTTCTTATGCTAAATGTCCCGTGTAATCAACTCAAGTATCTCGGTATACGTATACTGAAAAGTAAATTAAAAATTGATGATTATTCTTAACCATCTACTAATTACATAACTATTTTAGTTATACGAAAGCTTCTAGTATAATAACACTATACGCCAGGTGTTTACAAAGTAACGACCACGTGTTTTGTTATTCGTAGCTACCTAGTGTATTTGGCATAAATTGACCAATTGCAATGGCAAATGAAAGCTTTTCAGGCACTTCAATAGACGTCTCTGTTCCATGAAATATGCTTCTTTTGCTTTCTGTAATTTAGACATTATTGGTTACCTGTGAGCGGGGTGCTATGTAGAATGATGAAACAGAAATGATGAAAATGACACTTCACCAGACCCCCATCATATAAACTTCCTTCCACCCACCCCCTCACCCCCTCACCACCCA